CCCCCCTTCTCCCTGCTGGCTTACCCCCCCTTCCCTGCCCGCCGTCCCCCCTTCCAGCTCGCGTTCCCCCTTTCCCAGCTCGCCGTCCCCCCCTTTTTCCCAGCTCGCCATCCCCCCTTTCCCTGCTCGTCGTTTCCCCTTCCCCTGCTCGCCGTCCCCCCTTTCCCATCGCTTCCCCCCTTCCCAGCTCGCCGTCCCCCCCTTCCCAGCTCGCCATCCCCCCTTTCCCTGCTCGCTGCCCCCCCGTTCCCAGCTCGACGTCCCCCCCCTTTCCCTGCTCGGCTTACCCCCCTTCCCTGCCGCCGTCCCCCCCTTTTCCCAGCTCGCCGTCCCCCCCTTTTTTCCCTGCCCGCCGTCCCCCCCTTTCCCTGCTCTCCGTTCCCCCCGTTCCCAGCTCGACGTCCCCCCGTTCCCAGCTCGACGTCCCCCCCCCTTTCCCAGCTCGCCATCCCCCCTTCCCTGCTCGCCGTCCCCCCCTTTCCCAGCTCGCCGTCCCCCCCGTTCCCAACTCGACGTCCCCCCCCTTTCCCTGCTCGGCTTACCCCCCCTTCCCTGCCGCCGTTCCCCCCTTTCCCAGCTCGCCGTCCCCCCCTTTCCCAGCTCGCCATCCCCCCTTTCCCTGCTCGCTGTTTCCCCCTTTCCCTGCTCGCCGTTCCCCCCTTTCCCAGCTCGCCGTCACCCCCCTTCCCCAGCTCGCCATTCCCCCCTTTCCCTGCTCGGCTTACCCCCCCTTCGCTGCCCGCCGTCCCTCCCTTCCCACCTTGCTGTCCCGTCCCTGCTCGCCATCCCCTACCCCCCAGCTCGCCGTCCCCCCCTTTTCTCAGCTCGCCGTCCCCCCCTATCCCTGCTCGCCGTCCCGCCCTTTCCCTGCTCAACGTCCCCTCTGCCCCTGCTCGCCATTTCCCCCCCTGCCTAGCTTGCCGCTTTCCCCTTTTCCCCGGCTCGCAATTTCTCCCTCTCCCCAGCTCGCCACCTCGCCCTCTGTCCAACTCGCCGCTGCCCCCTTCCCCCCAGCTCGCCGCTTCCCCGGCTCCACAGCTCGCCGTTTCCCCCCTGCCGCTGCCTTTCCCCACGTTGCCCGCTGCTTTTCCACCCTCGCCCGGTACTTCTCCCCCCTCTGCCCGCCGCTTCCCCCTTTGCCGCTGCTTTCTCCCCCTCGCCCGCTGCTCCTCCCTCTCGCCCGCTGCTGTTCCCCCTCCTTTGCTCGCTGTTTCTCCCCTTTTTTGCCGCCGCTTCCCCCCCCCTTGCCTCTACTCTCCCTCCCTTGTCGCCAATTTTCCCCCCCTTTGCCTCTTGCTTTTCCCCCCTTGTCCATGGCTTTCCCCCCCAAGCCACTGCTCTGTCCCTCCTAGCCCGCAGTTTTTCCCTCGCCTGCCCGCTGTCTTTCACCCTGTGCCGCTCATTGTCCCCCCAATGCACGGTGCTGAGCTGTTTTCTCCCACTTGCCCGCTGCTTTTCCCCCCTTGCCCGTTGCCTTTTTCCCCCTTGCCCGTTGCCTTTCCCTCACTCGCCCTTGCTCTTCCCCCCCTTACCCGCTGCTATTCCCCCCCACGGACGCTGTTTCTCCCCCCTCTGCCCACTGCTCTTCCCCCCTTGCCCGCCGATTTTCTCCCCCTTGCCCGTTGTTTTTCAGTCCCTTGCCCCTGCCTTAGCCCCCTTGCCCGCTGTTATTCCCCCCTTGTCCGCTGCTTTTCCCCCTGTTCTGCTGCTTTTCCCCCCTGTTCTGCTGCTTTTCCCCCCTTCGCCCGCTGCTTTTCCCCCCTTCTTTGCCCGCTGCTATTCCCCCCTTGCCCGTTGCCTCCCCCTCCCTTGCCCCTGCTCTTCCCCCCCTTGCCCACTGTGGCTCCCCCCTTTGCCCACCGCTTCCCCCCCTCGCTTGCTGCTTCTCCCCCTTGCCCGTTGCCTTTCCCACCCTTGCCCACTGCTTTTAGCCCTTTGCCGCTGCTCTTCCCCCCTTGCTCGCTGCTTCTCCCCCCCTTGCCTGTTGCTTTACCCTCCCTTGCCCCTGCTTCCCCCCCCCCCTTGCCTGCTGTTATTTGCCCTTTGCCTGCTGCTTTTCCCCTGGTCCGCTGCTTCTCCCCCCTTGCCCACTGCTATTCCCCTCTGGCCCGCTGCTTCTTCCCCCCTGCCCGTTTTGCGGCCCATTTGGTCCCACCCATCCTTCGGTCCTCCCTCCACTCCCGACCCTCTCCGTTGATTGCCCACTTCCCCCCCCACATTCCCCCATTTTCTTCGTGTTCATCCCTCCCTTCCCCCCCCTGGTTCCCCCACTCGTATCCCCTCCCGTTCTCCCCTACTGTCCCCCATTGTTTCCCCCTCGTATTCTATCCTGCTTTCTTCTCCTTTCCCCCTGTTTCCCCTCCCTTCCCCCTTGCCCACTATCCCTCCCATTGCCCACTGCTTCCCCCCCCCTTGCCCACTGTTTCTCCCCGATTGCCCACTGCCTTTCCCCCCTTGCCCATCACTCCTTCCCGCTTGCCCACTGCTGTTCCCCTCCTTGTCCTCTACTCTTCCCCTGTTGCCCACCGACTTTCTCCCCTAGCCCACTGATTTCCCCCCCTTACTCATTGCTCTTCGCCTTTTTGTCCAGTGCGTTTCTCCCCTTTCCTCACTGCTCTTCCGCCCCTTGCTCTCTGACCTTCCCCTCCCTGCTCCCGCCAACTCACACGTCAGCCTCCACCCTCGTATTCTATCCTGCTTTCTTTTCCTTCCCCCCTGTTTCCCCTCCCCTCCCCCTTGCCCACTATCCCCCCCATTGCCCACTGCTTCTCCCCCCCTTGCACACTGTTTCTCCCCGATTGCCCCCTGCCTTTCTCCCTTTGCCCATCTGCTAGCCGTTCCCTCCTCTGTCTAGTTCGCCATTTCCCCCTCTGCCCAGCCCGCCGTTCCCCACTCTCCCCAGGTCGCCATTTCCCCCTCAGCCCAGACCGCCACTCCCCCCCCCTCTCCCCAGCTTGCCATTTCCCCCTCTCCCCAGCTTGCGAGTCCCTCCTTGCTTCTGCTTCTCCCCCTTGACGCTGTTTCCCCCCCCCCCCCTTGCCTCTGTTTTCCCCCACTTCCCCGGCCCGCCGCTCCCCCGCTCCCCTGCCCGCCGCTCTCCCGCTTCCCTGCCCGCTGCTCCCCCGCTTCCCTGCCTGCTGCTCCCCCCCACTTTCCCTGCCTGCTGCTCCCCCCCACTTTCCCTGCCCGCTGCTCCCCCCACTTTCCCTGCCCGCTGCTCCCCCGCTTCCCTGCCCGCTGCTCCCCGGCTTCCCCCACTCCCCCCCAGGTCTCCCCCCCTTCCCTACCAGGCTTCCCCCTATACCCCCTCCAGTTTCCCCCTAGTACCTCCCTGTCTCCCCCACCCCTCTTCCCGGTTCCGTGATATCTCCCCCCACTGTTTCCCAGGAGTCTGCCCTCCGTTTTCCCCATCCCTCCCCCCGTGCCCACTACTCTTCCCCCTCCTTGTCCACTGCTGTTCCCCCTCCTTGCCCACTGCTTGTCCCTACTTGCCCACTAACTCTACGCACTTACCCACACATTTTCTCTCCCGGCTCACGCGTTTCCCTCCCGTGCCCATTGCTTTTCCCCCGTGCCCACTGCCATTCCCCTCCTTTCTCCCCACTTTTGCCCACTATCGTTCCCCCTCACTGCCCACTGCTACTTTTCCCTGCTGCCTTTCCTCACGTGCCCGCTGCTTCTCCCCCCTTGCCCGCTGCTCTTCTACTCTCGCCAGTTGCTTTTCCCTTCCTTGCCCCTGCTTTTCCCCCCCTCGCCCGCTGTTATCCCCCCCCTTGTCCGCCGCTTGTCCCACCCCTTGCCCGCTGTTTTCCCCTCTTTGCCCGTTGCCTTCCCCTCCCTTGGCCCTGCCTTTCCCCCCCATTGCCCGCTGTCATTTTCCCCCCATTACCCGCTGCTTTTCCCCCTGGCCTGTTGCTTTTCCCACTGGCCTGTTGCTTGCCCGTTGCCTTTCCCACCCTTGCCCGTTGCCTTTCCCCCCCCTTGCCTGTCGCTTTTCCCCCTTTGCCGCTCGTCTTCCCCCCTTACCCGCTGATTCTCCTCCCCTTGCCCGCTACCTTACCCTCTCTTGCCCCTGCTTTCCCCCCCTTGCCCACTGTTATTCGCCCATTGCCAGCTGCTTTTCCCCCTGGTCCGCTGCTTCTCCTCCCTTGCCCGCCGCCATTCCCCCCCTGGCCCGTTGCTTCCCCCCCCCCTGTGTTCCCGCTGCTTTCCCCCCCGCCTCCCCGCTGTTCGTCCCCCCCTGCCCGTTTCGCTGCCCATTGGGTCCCACCCATCCTCCGGTCCTCTCTCCACTCCCGACCCTCTCCTTTGATTACCCACTTCCCCCCCCGCTTTCCCCCATTTTCTTCGTGTTCCTCCCCCCCTTCCCCCCTTGGTTCCCCCACTCTTATCCCCGCCCGCTCTCCCCTACTGTCCCCCGTTGTTTCCCCCTCGTATTCTATCCTGCTTTCCACTCTTTTCCCCTTGTTTCCCCCTCCCTTCCCCCTAGCCCACTACTTTTCCCCCCATTGCCCACTGCTTTTCCCCCCTCGCCCACCATTCCTCCCCCCTTTGCCCACTGCCTTTCCCCTCCTTGCCCACCCCCTTCCTCCCCATTGCCCACTGCTGTTCCCCGCCCTGCCCTCTACTCTTCCCCCGCTGCCCACTGACCTTCCCCCTGGCCCACTGATTTCCCCCCCTTGCCCACTGCTCTTCGCCTCTTTTGCCCAGTGCGTTTTCTCCCTCTTCCTCGCTGCTTTTCCGCCCCTCGCCCTCTGATTTTCCCCCCCTTGCTCCCACCAACTCACACGTCAGTTTCCACCCCCGAAATCGTCCCGCCCCACACCCGGTGCTCTTCACTCCTCCCCCCCCTCTCCTTCCAGTTCCCCCTGTCCCTGCAGGCTGTTTCTTTCCATGTTGTCCTATCCCCGTTTCCCCACCTTCCCCCCGTACGTCTCCCCACAGTCGAGCGCCATAACCCTCCTCTAATCGCCGCCCCCTGTTCTCTCCCTATCCTCCCCCCCCTGTCCCCCTCCCCACTCCACGCAGTTTCTCTGATCTCACCTTCTTTCCCCGCTGTTTTCCTCCCTCCCTTCCCCCCCTGCTTCCCCCTCCTCCCCCTCTTCTAGCATGCAGTCCCCGTGGCCATGACCCACACCCCCTGCAATGGGGGGGAGGGCGGCCCCGGTGCTCTCCGACGGTCAGGCAGAGCCGGTAGCCGCCCTTCCCCCTACTCATCGTCTTCCATCCCCCCACCCAACAGTATCGCCCCGCCAGCCCGCGTCGAGGTGACCGTCGGCAAGGGCGGGGACCAGGTGCGCTCTGCCTCGCGAGGCCGGAAACGACCACGGGAGAAGGCAGAGGAAGGCCCCGCCTCACGCCTGGAGAAGCAGGAGCGCGAAGCCACACGCTCGCGCTCCCATGGTCGCAAAAAGTCATCTGCCCCCCCTCCGCCACTCCCACAGGCCAACACTAGCGCCAGGAGAGCCCCCACCTCCTCCACACCCATGGCCACATGTAGCAAGGCTGGCACAGGTGAGGCCGCAGCAGGGCCTGTGGCAGGGGATGGGGATGCGGCAGCACCGGGGGGTCCTGCAGAGGTGGCAGCAGAGATGCGGGTGTGGGAGGTGAAAGAGGGGGTGACGGAGAGGGCGGAGGGGGAAAGATCGGCAGAGCCGGTGGGGGCTGGTGAGGACTCAGAGTGGGACGAGGCCGGGGACTCGGATGGGGACAACGCGAAGGACTCGGACTGGGTTTTGGAGGGCGCCGAGGACTCGGATGAGGACGTAGTTGAGCTCATAGCACCCGCTCCTAGTGCAGCCAGGCTCGAGGCCGGGTCCTCAGCAGGGGAGCCAGCGACGGGAGCTGTGGGGTTGGCAGGAGCGGCAGCTGGAGCGGAGGCGGAGGGGGAGGTGGCACGGGCTGGGGTAGAGAGGGCAGCATTAGAGGGTATGGCCCGGGCCTATGCGCAGTCCATGGCCGCATGTGGTGCGGCGCCGGAGGCAGCAGCAGGAGAGGCTGCAGGTGTGGCAACTGCAGGGGCGGTTGCAACAGTGGCAGCCATCAGGACCGCGGCAAAGGAGGCTGCCGCAGGAGTCACCGCAGGGGGTACTCCAGCGGAAGCTGCTATGGCAGAGGCAGAGGCAGGAGAGGCTGCATGGGGGAAGGTGGAAAAGGCGGCTGCAGAGGCGGCAGCAGCACGGGCTGTAGCCGCAGGGGGAGGAACGACAGCCGTGGTGGGAGGGGCGGCTGTGGGGGCTGCCGCAAAGGCCTTTGCAGAAGTGGCAGCAGCTCCAGCACCGGCAGAGGCGCAGGCACCTGGGCCGGTTGCAACGGGGGCGGCAGAGGGAGACCCTGCAGAGGTAGCAGCCGCTGGGGGTGGGGCCGCTCCAGAGTTGGCAGCAGCTGGGGGGGTGGTCGCGGCGGCGGCAGCAGCAGCTGGGGCTGCAGCAGAGACGGTGGCAGCGGGAGCATGGGCAGCGGCGCCAACAGCTGGGGCCTCCGTGGAGGAGGCGGCAGCAATGGATCATGCAAGAGGTGCATCGGCTCGGGCTCGGGCTCGGGATGCGGCAGAGGCAGTAGCAGCAGGGGCCACAGGGGCAGCCGGGGCGGATTTGGGGACAGCAGCAACAGCAGGCGCCCCTGCAGAGGCGGCAGAGGCAGGAGCAGCGGCGGTGCGGGCGGCGACAGCGGCAGGAGCTGGAGCTGCCACCGCAGAGGAGGCAGCAGCAGCCGATCTTGCGAGGGGCGCAGCGACCGGGGCTCGGGATGCCGCAGAGGCGGTGATGGCTGGGGCCGCTGCAGCGGCCAGGGTGGCTGCCGGGGAAGCAGACGAAGGAGTCCCTGCTGAGGCGGCGGGGGCAGGGACAACGGCAGAGGCAGCAGCAGCAGCAGCGGCAGCAGCAGCAACAGGAGCACGTGCAGGGGCGGCTGCTGGTGCGGCAGGGATAGGAGAGCCGCCGGAGGCGGCAGCAGCGGCAAGGCTACCTACGGCGGAGGAGGCAGGAAAGGGAGCTGTTGTACGCGCTCTCGCACGGGCTATTACCGGGGGGGGGATGTATGCACGTCTGGCAGCGGCTGCGGCAGCAGCGGAGGAGGCAGAGATAGGGGCCGCTGCGGGGAAGGCAGCCAGGGGGAGCGCCACAGGGAAACCAGCAGCAAGTGCTGCGGCAGGGAAGGCAGCAGCGGGGGCAGCGGCAGGGAAAGTAGCAATGGGTCCCGCTGTTTCGCAGGCAGCGGCTAGCAGGGCCGCGACAGCGGCGGCGGCGGCAACGGCGGCGGCGGCGGCTGCGGTGGTGTCAGCGGAAAAAGGGGCAGCAGGGGGTGCCGCACCGGGGGCAGTAGCGGAAGCGGCTGCAGGGAAGGTAGCAGCAGGATCAGCAGGGCGTGCCGCGGGGGAGACAACTGCCGGGGTAGCTGCGGGGATGGCAGCAACAGGAAGGGCAGCTGGGGCGGCAGCAGGGAAGGCAGCAACAGCAGCAACACGGGCAGCGGCAAGAGGTGCTGCACGGGAGAGGGCAGCGGGAGCCGCTGCAGGAAGGGCAGCAGCTGCGGCAGCTCCAGCAGGAGGTGTGGTGAGAGAGACAGCAGCCGGAGCGGCCGAAGGTAAGGCAGTAACTGGGACGAGGGCTAAGGAGGCAGGACACAGGGCAGCACCTGGGCCGGAAGAGACTGTCTCATCCCCTCCCACCCCCTCCATCTCCCCCCTCCCCCCCCCTCCTTCCCCTCCTCCCCCTACTTCCCTTGCGGTCCCCCGTCCCCCCCTTCCCCCCCCTACTCCCAATCCCATGCATGCAGGGGCTTCACCAGCGGCGCAGGGCCCTCGCCGTGGGCTACAACCCAGGGCTATGGGCGGGGCGGCCCGAGCCTTGGCGTTTTTGGCGGACCCCTGTACACCCGAGCCAATGATCGGGACGCAGTCTCACCACTCCCTCTCCCCCCACACCCTCCCCTTACAGCCGAGTGTGCCCCACGAGGCGGCCGCCGAGGATGGCTCGGACAATGATGGCCCGCTCGCCGGATATATCTTGGTCGACTCAACCCTTCCATGCTCTCCCTCATCAGCCCTCGCGCCGGCGCCAGGAGCACAAACAACAGCCGGGCAGGTTGCTCCCTCCCCCTCCCCACCCACGCAGGCTGTCGCGCCGGACGCCTCGACCTGGGTAGCACAAGGAGGGGCGGCTCTTGCCCAACCCCCCTCGTCAGTCCGCCCCCAACCCTGTTCCACCCCAGGTGTCTCCCGCCCGGCACAGGGCACACACCCTGTCGGCCACATGGGCGCTTCCCATAGGAACGGTGAGCGGGGTGCACCCCCGGCAAGGGGGAGCAACCCGAATCAACTCCCTCTCGGCCCTCGCCGTCTCACCCCGGCTGATCCCACTTCCCAAGCCCCACAGCTAAGCTTCGGGCAAGGCGGGGGTCCCTCGGCGCCCACTCTGCTTCCCTTCCAGGCCGTGGGCCCTACCTTGCCCGCGTCCCGCCCCCCCCCTCCCTCTCCCACACATCCCACCCGCCCCCTTTCCCCGGCAATCCAGCCGGAACTCCCCTCGCGCCCTTTCGTGCAGCCCCCAGGTTTCATGTCCCGCACGGCAGGCGACCACGGGAGTGCCTCCCTCTTGGGCCCTCCCTTGTCACTTCCGTCTCACACACCCTCCAGCCCAGCGCTGGGGCACCCACCCTTCCCACCCCCTCCATTGAGCGTCCCACCCACGCTTAACCCTTACCCTACTGCCCAACCACCTCTCTTGCCCTGCCCCCCCACTCCCGCCCGGCCCATCAGCGCGAACAGGGGCGAGGCGAGGGCGGCCCCCCCATCTCACCCTCCCCCTTCCTGCCCCACACACTCCTTGCCCGTCAGTATTCAGGTGGTCGCAGCGAGCCACCCATCCGCGATGGACGTCGACAAAACAGGAGTAGGGGACCTGCATGATGTCTCCTCCCAACCCTACATCCCCCCTTACCGTCGCTCCGCACAGGCAGCGATGTCGGCAGACGCCCAGGGGGAAGGGGACGGGGAAGGTGTCGGGGGAGGGCGGGGCCTCACGGATGGCGCTGCCGATTCCACCACCGCCACCACCCCTCTCTTTCCCCCCCTGTCCCCATCTGCACCCGCCCCAGGGCAGGCCGCCATCCATGCGCAGGCTAGCCCATCGCGGCAGGCGGCCATCGGCGGCCACACCCCCTCACCCTCCCAGCTGCCCCATTCTCACACTCCTCACCCACAGCAGGGGGCGGTCACACGGCAGCCACTGATTGGACAGTTTGCCCAACCCCACACAGGTCGCCGGAAGAAGGGCAAGGGCAAGGGGACACCCGGGGCAGCCCGGCGCTCGGAGCAGCCGGACACGACTCCACCCTCTGCTGGCGCGCAGCCCTTACCAGCCACCACCCCTCAGGCGACCCCATCATTGCCCCCGGCCTGCCACCCACTGCCCTCCCATAACCAGGATGGCGAGCTTCGGACGGTCTCCCTCCCTCGCCCCACCCAGGCCTCACTCCCCTGTCACCCCCCCATCCCGCCCCTGGCCCCCCACCAGACAGTCGCCGCCGATGCCCCATCCGCGATGGAAATCGAACCGGCGGTGGAAGAGGGGTCGTTAGCCTCTCGCAAGCAAGCCTATATCCCCCCCCAGCGTCGGTCCCCACCACCCGCTTCTTTGTCCCCCTCCGGTCCACAACCTCCGACCCAGGCCAGGTCCCACGGTGGTTCGCCCACCACGACCAACCAGCCTGCCCTGCTCCCCCTACCCACAGGCGGACAGTCGCAGGGGGCAGATGGGGAGACGGAGGCGGCAGTTGCCGACCTTCTCAGGATATGGGACGCGTCCGCCACCCCCTCTGCGCCCGCTTGTCCGGGTCGGGTGGGGGGGGCACCGTGGACCCTGCTCCAGACATCTCCCATGCCCCCCCTTCCCCCCCGTCCACCGCCCTCACACCGGAGCGCATGGTGATCGATGACTCCGACGCGGCCCCCGACCACCCCCTCTGCCCAGACGCATCCACTGCTCCAGCTGCCCACACCCCAGCTCCTACGTCCCCCGGCGAGGCCACTGAGCTAGCCTGCCATCCAGACGCATGCCCCGCCCTAGCCACTGTCCCCTTGGTCGTACCATCCTCACCCACGCCCGCGCATCCCGCCGTCGCTCCTCCCCCCCGGCCATTGCCTTGCCCGCCCCAGACGCACGGCCCGCCCCCCACTTGGGCCACCGACCTCGGACAGGGGCCCATCGAAGAGGCGGTCGTCGGCGCTGATAGCTCGGAGAGCACGATGCCAGTCCCCCCGCACGACACAGCGGTGCCGACAGGAGGACTAGCGGTCACGTGTCCTACCTGCCGGAGCACCTTGGTGAGCAGCCACGCTCTTGCTCTCCATGCACCCCATTGCCAGCCCGCCGATGCTCTACGCAGGGCGGAGGCCCTGCAGGATGCCACCTCTTCCCCTCCCTCATTCAGCGAGCCACGCGCCTCCGTCGTCACATTCTCGGACGTCCAGTGGTCGTCCTTGGATGCGGTCGATTGGACGGATTATTTCTCACCGAGACGCATGCATGCTCGCCCGCTCCGGCGTATCCCGCCGAGGGTTCGCGGGGGGTACGTGGATGTCCTCTGCGCGATCTTGCAGCGCATCAGCCAGCACCCCAGGGCGGGCGGGCCGACGTTTCTGCTGTTGGCCATCCCGACCCTCCTCCTCACGCCCGCTACACCACCTGCACGATCACATACGGCGGCCATCACTGCGCGCATTGCGCGCTTCCTTGGTGGAGATTGGGACGCCCTCATAGCAGAGGCGCTCCACCGCCGCACACCCCTCGCGGCATGCACGACACGCCGCGCCCGCGCCGCGACTCCGACGCCTGACGAGCGCCGCATTGCCCGTTGCCTCCGCCTGGCAGCGTGCAATGAGACGTCACGTGCTTGTGCGGCCTTGGAGTCGGCAGAGGCGGCCCCGGACGGAGATCAGACGGTGCACCGCCTACGGGCGAAGCACCCTTGCGCGGAGCGCCCCATCCCAGCATGGGTGGCCTCCTTCCGGGATGCAGCCCTGGTCCTGAGCATTGAGCATCTGCGCAGGGCCATTTTCACCGCTCCGAGGGGCTCTTCGGGAGGACCTTCGGGATGGGTGGCCGAGCACTTCCGCGACACCTTCTTGGCCTTCCCGAAGGCCCTCCCTACCTTGCTTGCTGTCTACCAGCAGTGGCTCCGGGGCGACTGCGCCCCGGCCGCACTTCCCATGCTGGCATCATCCACCCTCGTCGCGCTCTCCAAGCCGAACATGGACGTTCGGCCGATAGCCATAGGCGAGGTCCTTGCGCGCCTACTCCAGCGGGCGGCATGCCTGCAGTTGCGCGAGCCGATGGCTCGAGTCTTTCTACCATCACAGCAGTTCGGGGTCGGGGTGACCTGCGGTACTGAGCTGGTCGTTAGGGGCGTCCGTCGCGGCAGGGCGGACCACCCGGACTGGGTGGTCGTCGAGCTCGACGTGGCGAACGCCTTTAACTCGTATCACCGCGATCGCTTGTTCGAGGCACTGCGAGCGAGCTCCGAGTTTCGCTGCCTCATCCCTTTCGTTGCCCTTTTCTACGGCACGCCATCCTCGCTGTTCTTTCGGACCGGGCGAGGAGTCACCACCATCCGCTCAGAGCGAGGATCTCGTCAGGGCGACCCTCTGAGCCCATTTCTCTTTGCCCTGACACAGAGGCTGGCACTGGAGCCAGTGCTGGCGGACGGGGACGTGCAGCTGTGGTCATACGCGGATGACACGTACGTCCTGGGCACACCAGAGAGGGTGTTGCAGAGCTTCACTGCCATTCAGAGGCGCTTGGGCGAGCTGGGCCTCTCGGTCCAGCCGCACAAGTGCCTGGTCTACCCAGCGGCGTCCACACGACCGGAGGAGTTGGCAGGCTTCACCGCCCTCGGCCTCGATGTCGCGCGCCGGGGTTTGACGGTTGCGGGGGTGCCTGTCGGCACGGAGGATTTCGTCCACACGAGACTCAGGGAGCGCCTGGAGCGGATGGCCCGAGTGCTGCCGTGGCTGCCTAGGTTGCGTGACCCCCAGGTGGCTGCGCACCTGCTCTCAGCATGCGTCAGCACGCGCCCTCAGTACCTAGCGCGCACGGTCCCGCCCACACAGGCGGTGCGCTCCATCTTCGCGCGCTGGGACGATGGCCTCGGCGAGGCCTTCCAGCGGCTATTCGTCGCGGGCACCTGGAGCGGAGGAGGAGAGATACGCGGCGCGGCCTTGGACCAGGCATTTCTGCCCATTAGGCTGGGCGGATTCGGCATCCGCCGCATGGCGCGCGCGGCGCCAGCGAGCTACCTCTGCTCCTGGGCGCAGTGCGCCCCCATCCTCTGCTCCCTCCCACAGATCGGTGAGTCCTTCAGACGGGCGCTCGCGGCGGAGGACCCCGCAGGGATCGATCCCCACATCGCGACGGCTTTGGCAGACCTTCCACCGTCAGTCCGGGCCTTGCTGCCACCCCTGTCCTCTTGCATCTCGAGCGCGCCGGACGGTCTGTTTTCTGAGGTGAGTCGGCACCTAGAGGCGGCGGCATTAGAGTCCGTTCGTGGACGTCACACTGACCCTTTGCATCTTGCCCGTTTGACATCCCTTCAGGGCGCAGATGCAGGCGCGTGGCTCACGGCGGTCCCTTATGCAGATCCACTGCGCATCCCGGAGGCGCAGTGGCAGGTGGCTTCATGTTTTCGCCTTGGTCTGTCTATCCCCCAGTTAGCCCTTACAGGTCATTGCTCGTGCGGACGGGAGATCGAGGACATGTCGGTGCCCCACCACGTCGTACGCTGTCAGCACTACCACGTCACCACGACCGTCCACAACGCCGTGAAGTACGTCCTTCGCGACATCGCGCGCGAGGCGGGTTTCGCGGTCAGGGTGGAGGACACGGCGCTCATCCCACACCTGGAGGAGGTGCGACGGCGCTTGACAGCCCAGCGGCAGCGGGAGGGGGCACAGGCGGGAGGGCCTACGCTGGCACAGGGACGGACTCGGACAGGACGGGGGGCACAGAGGGCCCAGGGAGGGGAGGAGGGACGGCAGGGAGGGGGGGAGGGACAGCAGGGAGGGGGGGAGGGACAGCAGGGAGGGGGGGAGGGACAGCAGGGTGGGGGGAGGGACAGCAAGGAGGGGGGGAGGGGCAGCAGGGTGGGGGGGAGGGACACGAGGGAGGGGGGGAGCACCAGGACAGCAGGGAGTGTGGGGACTGCCGGGACAGTCGGGACAGCAGGCACGGCTGGTGCCGCAGACGCGGGGGACAGAGGCGGGAGTCCTTGGACAGGGGCCACGGCCACAGGGACAGCCCGTTTCACACGGTGGGACGGTACAGCCGCAGCAGCCGCAGCTGAGGGAGGGCCAGGGGAGGCGCCTGGGGCGAGGGAGACGGGGGGCTCAGGAAGGGGGAAGGGCGGATGGGGCTCGGGGGGAAAGGACTCAGGGTACCGCAGGAGAGGGGGGGGCAGCCCGACCACAGGGTGGTGGGGGGGAGGAGATCGAGGAGATAGTCATGGTCGAGGGAGGGGGTCAGATAGCAGGGGACCGAGCACGGGACGGGCCAGAGGCAGCTAGAGGGGCCAGAGGGGGTGTGGAGCTTGATCCCCGCCAGGGGACAGGGGCACAGGAGGGCGAGAGAGTGGCACGGGGAGGGGGGATAGCAGGGGGGACGGGGGGGGGCGAGGGAGTGGGGAGGACGGGAGGAGCGGGGCAGGTAGATGGAGAGGGTCTGGGGGAGGGGATAGGAGAGGCAGGGGGGTTGGGAGGGGTAGGGGCAAGGGAAAGGGAAGGGAGGGTGAGAGAGGAGGATGAGGGGGGGACAATGGCACAAGGAGGAGGGGGACCACAGGACACGACTAGGCAGCAGCCCACACTGCAGCACAGCACAGCCGGACGCGCAGGCCGCGCAGGAGCACCCGCACGCATCCCCGACCTCACATGCCGCGACGCTGAGAAGGCACTCATGATTATTATAGACGTGTCGATAGCGGATCCACAGCGGGGTGGGAACGCACAGTTTCGGCGAGCGGCATCCACACAGCGGGGGGTGGCGGCGACGAGGCGGGTGCAGGAGAAGATCAGGGACTGGCGGTCGGCCTTGGTAGGAGTGCAGCCGGAGCCGATGTTCTATGCGTGCGTTGCTGAGACTTTCGGGCACTTGAGCGTGCCACTGCGAGATTTTCTGGGGCTCTGCTCACAGCGCATAGCGACGCAGCGGCGGGACGCAGGTAGTGGGGAGGAGGCATCGGCGCGGATCTTTGAGTGCGCTCTCACCACGCGGGTTTCAGTGGCGCTGCAGCGTGCGCAGGCGAACATTATCACACAGCATGCAGTGCGACAGCTGGGAGAGTCGGACGATGCATGGATGCCGATACCGGTACCGCTTGGCGCAGGCAGCTGGAGCGGACATCACATCAGTGGCTGCTTTGACAGTGTGGCCGATATGCAGTACCTGTTTGATGGCTATGTGTAGATGAAAACAAGAGTAGGCTGTGCTTGAAACGCTGTGTCTGCGCTGTAGGCGCGGGTTGCTGCTTTGTCGTGTCCCTTGGACCCCTCCCTCCTTACAGTCACACCCCTCCTCTCTTCCACCTCTCTCACCTCCCCCTTTCTTTTCCCTTACTCTTATCTTTCTTGATCCTCCTACTTCTTCTATCCTTCTCATTCTTTCCCTCTCTTTCTACCTTCCCTTCTCTTCTTTTCCTCTCTACTTTCTCTTCTCTTCTTTCCCTTCTCTTCCTAACTTCCAAAAACATTACTGTGGTCGTATAGCGTAACATTCATGCCGAAATTTCCAACTTCGGTTTCATATTGGCTATATGACTTGTAACTCTCTTTGTTATTAATAAAATAACTGCTCTCGCCCACTGGCGCTTAGCTGCGGAGTTCTGATGGGATCCGGCGTAGTAGCCAAGGTATGATCGTACCACGTGCAGTCCTGTCCGCGGTCCGCTTCCCACTCCTCCCCCGAGGCAGCTCCCCTCTTTATAGTCACATCCGCGAACGTGCCCGCAAGAGGCTCGCCATCTCGCTGGGGGCGGAATGGACGCCCATACGTAGTCGCGCTCCGTGGCGTCCTATGCAGAGAGCGGCCCTCCGCAGAGCGGCGCGACATCGCCGCCCGGGCGGTTCGGAGAAGAATCCTCCTTTCTTTTTCCCACTGCCCCCTCCCGGGCACGGGAGCAGGCAGAAATGGGTACGACACGAGGACTTCCCGGGAGGTCACCCTGCCCAGTACTGCTCTCGCCCACTGGCGCTACGCTGCGGAGTTCTGATGGGATCCGGCGTAGTAGCCAAGGTATGATCGTACCACGTGCAGTCCTGTCCGCGGTCCGCTTCCCACTCCTCCCCCGAGGCAGCTCCCCTCTTTATAGTCACATCCGCGGTCGTGCCCGCAAGAGGCTCGCCATCTCGCTGGGGGCGGAATGGACGCCCATACGTAGTCGCGCTCCGTGGCGTCCTATGCAGAGAGCGGCCCTCCGCAGAGCGGCGCGACATCGCCGCCCGGGCGGTTCGGAGAAGAATCCTCCTTTCTTTTTCCCACTGCCCCCTCCCGGGCACGGGAGCAGGCAGAAATGGGTACGACACGAGGACTTCCCGGGAGGTCACCCTGCCCAGTACTGCTCTCGCCCACTGGCGCTTAGCTGCGGAGTTCTGATGGGATCCGGCGTAGTAGCCAAGGTATGATCGTACCACGTGCAGTCCTGTCCGCGGTCCGCTTCCCACTCCTCCCCCGAGGCAGCTCCCCTCTTTATAGTCACATCCGCGGTCGTGCCCGCAAGAGGCTCGCCATCTCGCTGGGGGCGGAATGGACGCCCATACGTAGTCGCGCTCCGTGGCGTCCTATGCAGAGAGCGGCCCTCCGCAGAGCGGCGCGACATCGCCGCCCGGGCGGTTCGGAGAAGAATCCTCCTTTCTTTTTCCCACTGCCCCCTCCCGGGCACGGGAGCAGGCAGAAATGGGTACGACACGACACGCCGCGCCCGCGCCGCGACTCCGACGCCTGACGAGCGCCGCATTGCCCGTTGCCTCCGCCTGGCAGCGTGCAATGAGACGTCACGTGCTTGTGCGGCCTTGGAGTCGGCAGAGGCGGCCCCGGACGGAGATCAGACGGTGCACCGCCTACGGGCGAAGCACCCTTGCGCGGAGCGCCCCATCCCAGCATGGGTGGCCTCCTTTCGGGATGCAGCCCTGGTCCTGAGCATTGAGCATCTGCGCAGGGCCATTTTCACCGCTCCGAGGGGCTCTTCGGGAGGACCTTCGGGATGGGTGGCCGAGCACTTCCGCGACACCTTCTTGGCCTTCCCGAAGGCCCTCCCTACCTTGCTTGCTGTCTACCAGCAGTGGCTCCGGGGCGACTGCGCCCCGGCCGCACTTCCCATGCTGGCATCATCCACCCTCGTCGCGCTCTCCAAGCCGAACATGGACGTTCGGCCGATAGCCATAGGGGAGGTCCTTGCGCGCCTACTCCAGCGGGCGGCATGCCTGCAGCTGCGCGAGCCGATGGCTCGAGTCTTCCTACCATCACAGCAGTTCGGGGTCGGGGTGACCTGCGGTACTGAGCTGGTCGTTAGGGGCGTCCGTCGCGGCAGGGCGGACCACCCGGACTGGGTGGTCGTCGAGCTCGACGTGGCGAACGCCTTTAACTCGTATCACCGCGATCGCTTGTTCGAGGCACTGCGAGCGAGCTCCGAGTTTCGCTGCCTCATCCCTTTCGTTGCCCTTTTCTACGGCACGCCATCCTCGCTGTTCTTTCGGACCGGGCGAGGAGTCACCACCATCCGCTCAGAGCGAGGATCTCGTCAGGGCGACCCTCTGAGCCCATTTCTCTTTGCCCTGACACAGAGGCTGGCACTGGAGCCAGTGCTGGCGGACGAGGACGTGCAGCTGTGGTCATACGCGGATGACACGTACGTCCTGGGCACACCAGAGAGGGTGTTGCAGAGCTTCACTGCCATTCAGAGGCGCTTGGGCGAGCTGGGCCTCTCGGTCCAGCCGCACAAGTGCCTGGTCTACCCAGCGGCGTCCACACGACCGGAGGAGTTGGCAGGCTTCACCGCCCTCGGCCTCGATGTCGCGCGCCGGGGTTTGACGGTTGCGGGGGTGCCTGTCGGCACGGAGGATTTCGTCCACACGAGACTTAGGGAGCGCCTGGAGCGGATGGCCCGAGTGCTGCCGTGGCTGCCTAGGTTACGTGACCCCCAGGTGGCTGCGCACCTGCTCTCAGCATGCGTCAGCACGCGCCCTCAGTACCTAGCGCGCACGGTCCCGCCCACACAGGCGGTGCGCTCCATCTTCGCGCGCTGGGACGATGGCCTCGGCGAGGCCTTCCAGCGGCTATTTGTCGCGGGCACCTGGAGCGGAGGAGGAGAGATACGCGGCGCGGCCTTGGACCAGGCATTTCTGCCCATTAGGCTGGGCGGATTCGGCATCCGCCGCATGGCGCGCGCGGCGCCAGCGAGCTACCTCTGCTCCTGGGCGCAGTGCGCCCCCATCCTCTGCTCCCTCCCACAGATCGGTGAGTCCTTCAGACGGGCGCTCGCGGCGGAGGACCCTGCAGGGATCGATCCCCACATCGCGACGGCTTTGGCAGACCTTCCACCGGCAGTCCGGGCCTTGCTGCCACCCCTGTCCTCTTGCATCTCGAGCGCGCCGGACGGTCTGTTTTCTGAGGTGAGTCGGCACCTAGAGGCGGCGGCATTAGAGTCCGTTCGTGGACGTCACACTGACCCTTTGCATCTTGCCCGTTTGACATCCCTTCAGGGCGCAGATGCAGGCGCGTGGCTCACGGCGGTCCCTTATGCAGATCCACTGCGCATCCCGGAGGCGCAGTGGCAGGTGGCTTCATGTTTTCGCCTTGGTCTGTCTATCCCCCAGTTAGCCCTTACAGGTCGTTGCTCGTGCGGACGGGAGATCGAGGACATGTCGGTGCCCCACCACGTCGTACGCTGTCAGCACTACCACGTCACCACGACCGTCCACAACGCCGTGAAGTACGTCCTTCGCGACATCGCGCGCGAGGCGGGTTTCGCGGTCAGGGTGGAGGACACGGCGCTCATCCCACACCTGGAGGAGGTGCGACGGCGCTTGACAGCCCAGCGGCAGCGGGAGGGGGCACAGGCGGGAGGGCCTACGCTGGCACAGGGACGGACTCGGACAGGACGGGGGGCACAGAGGGCCCAGGGAGGGGAGGAGGGACGGCAGGGAGGGGGGGAGGGACAGCAGGGAGGGGGGGAGGGACAGCAGGGAGGGGGGAGGGACAGCAGGGTGGGGGGGAGGGACAGCAAGGAGGGGGGGAGGGGCAGCAGGGTGGGGGGGAGGGACACGAGGGAGGGGGGGGAGCACCAGGACAGCAGGGAGTGTGGGGACTGCCGGGACAGTCGGGACAGCAGGCACGGCTGGTGCCGCAGACGCGGGGGACAGAGGCGGGAGTCCTTGGACAGGGGCCACGGCCACAGGGACAGCCCGTTTCACACGGTAGGACGGTACAGCCGCAGCAGCCGCAGCTGAGGGAGGGCCAGGGGAGGCGCCTGGGGCGAGGGAGACGGGGGGCTCAGGAAGGGGGAAGGGCGGATGGGGCTCGGGGGGAAAGGACTCAGGGTACCGCAGGAGAGGGGGGGGCAGCCCGACCACAGGGTGGTGGGGGGGAGGAGATCGAGGAGATAGTCATGGTCGAGGGAGGGGGTCAGATAGCAGGGGACCGAGCACGGGTCGGGCCAGAGGCAGCTAGAGGGGCCAGAGGGGGTGTGGAGCTTGATCCCCGCCAGGGGACAGGGGCACAGGAGGGCGAGAGAGTGGCACGGGGAGGGGGGATAGCAGGGGGGACGGGGGGGGGCGAGGGAGTGGGGAGGACGGGAGGAGCGGGGCAGGTAGATGGAGAGGGTCTGGGGGAGGGGATAGGAGAGGCAGGGGGGTTGGGAGGGGTAGGGGCAAGGGAAAGGGAAGGGAGGGTGAGAGAGGAGGATGAGGGGGGGACAATGGCACAAGGAGGAGGGGGACCAGGGGACACGACTAGGCAGCAGCCCACACCGCAGCACAGCACAGCCGGACGCGCAGGCCGCGCAGGAGCACCCGCACGCATCCCCGACCTCACATGCCGCGACGCTGAGAAGGCACTCATGATTATTATAGACGTGTCGATAGCGGATCCACAGCGGGGTGGGAACGCACAGTTTCGGCGAGCGGCATCCACACAGCGGGGGGTGGCGGCGACGAGGCGGGTGCAGGAGAAGATCAGGGACTGGCGGCCGGCCTTGGTAGGGGTGCAGCCGGAGCCGATGTTCTATGCGTGCGTTGCTGAGACTTTCGGGCACTTGAGCGTGCCACTGCGAGATTTTCTGGGGCTCTGCTCACAACGCATAGCGACGCAGCGGCGGGACGCGGGTAGTGGGGAGGAGGCATCGGCGCGGATCTTTGAGTGCGCTCTCACCACGCGAGTTTCAGTGGCGCTGCAGCGTGCGCAGGCGAACATTATCACACAGCATGCAGTGCGACAGCTGGGAGAGTCGGACGATGCATGGATGCCGATACCGGTACCGCTTGGCGCAGGCAGCTGGAGCGGACATCACATCAGTGGCTGCTTTGACAGTGTGGCCGATATGCAGTACCTGTTTGATGGCTATGTGTAGATGAAAACAAGAGTAGGCTGTGCTTGAAACGCTGTGTCTGCGCTGTAGGCGCGGGTTGCTGCTTTGTCGTGTCCCTTGGACCCCTCCCTCCTTACAGTCACACCCCTCCTCTCTTCCACCTCTCTCACCTCCCTCTTTCTTTTCCCTTACTCCTATCTTTCTTGATCCTCCTACTTCTTCTATCCTTCTCTTTCTTTCCCTCTCTTTCTACCTTCCCTTCTCTTCTTTTCCTCTCTACTTTCTCTTCTCTTCTTTCCCTTCTCTTCCTAACTTCCAAAAACATTACTGTGGTCGTATAGCGTAACATTTATGCCGAAATTTCCAACTTCGGTTTCATATTGGCTATATGACTTGTAACTCTCTTTGTTATTAATAAAATAACTGCTCTCGCCCACTGGCGCTTAGCTGCGGAGTTCTGATGGGATCCGGCGTAGTAGCCAAGGTATGATCGTACCACGTGCAGTCCTGTCCGCGGTCCGCTTCCCACTCCTCCCCCGATGCAGCTCCCCTCTTTATAGTCACATCCGCGAACGTGCCCGCAAGAGGCTCGCCATCTCGCTGGGGGCGGAATGGACGCCCATACGTAGTCGCGCTCCGTGGCGTCCTATGCAGAGAGCGGCCCTCCGCAGAGCGGCGCGACATCGCCGCCCGGGCGGTTCGGAGAAGAATCCTCCTTTCTTTTTCCCACTGCCCCCTCCCGGGCACGGGAGCAGGCAGAAATGGGTACGACACGAGGACTTCCCGGGAGGTCACCCTGCCCAGTACTGCTCTCGCCCACTGGCGCTACGCTGCGGAGTTCTGATGGGATCCGGCGTAGTAGCCAAGGTATGATCGTACCACGTGCAGTCCTGTCCGCGGTCCGCTTCCCACTCCTCCCCCGAGGCAGCTCCCCTCTTTATAGTCACATCCGCGGTCGTGCCCGCAAGAGGCTCGCCATCTCGCTGGGGGCGGAATGGACGCCCATACGTAGTCGCGCTCCGTGGCGTCCTATGCAGAGAGCGGCCCTCCGCAGAGCGGCGCGACATCGCCGCCCGGGCGGTTCGGAGAAGAATCCTCCTTTCTTTTTCCCACTGCCCCCTCCCGGGCACGGGAGCAGGCAGAAATGGGTACGACACGAGGACTTCCCGGGAGGTCACCCTGCCCAGAACTGCTCTCGCCCACTGGCGCTACGCTGCGGAGTTCTGATGGGCAGGTTGCTCCCTCCCCCTCCCCACCCACGCAGGCTGTCGCGCCGGACGCCTCGACCTGGGTAGCACAAGGAGGGGCGGCTCTTGCCCAACCCCCCTCGTCAGTCCGCCCCCAACCCTGTTCCACCCCAGGTGCCTCCCGCCCGGCACAGGGCACACACCCTGTCGGCCACATGGGCGCTTCCCATAGGAACGGTGAGCGGGGTGCACCCCCGGCAAGGGGGAGCAACCCGAATCAACTCCCTCTCGGCCCTCGCCGTCTCACCCCGGCTGATCCCACTTCCCAAGCCCCACAGCTAAGCTTCGGGCAAGGCGGGGGTCCCTCGGCGCCCACTCTGCTTCCCTTCCAGGCCGTGGGCCCTACCTTGCCCGCGTCCCGCCCCCCCCTCCCTCTCCCACACATCCCACCCGCCCCCTTTCCCCGGCAATCCAGCCGGAACTCCCCTCGCGCCCTTTCGTGCAGCCCCCAGGTTTCATGTCCCGCACGGCAGGCGACCACGGGAGTGCCTCCCTCTTGGGCCCTCCCTTGTCACTTCCGTCTCACACACCCTCCAGCCCAGCGCTGGGGCACCCACCCTTCCCACCCCCTCCATTGAGCGTCCCACCCACGCTTAACCCTTACCCTACTGCCCAACCACCTCTCTTGCCCTGCCCCCCACTCCCGCCCGGCCCATCAGCGCGAACAGGGGCGAGGCGAGGGCGGCCCCCCCATCTCACCCTCCCCCTTCCTGCCCCACACACTCCTTGCCCGTCAGTATTCAGGTGGTCGCAGCGAGCCACCCATCCGCGATGGACGTCGACACAACAGGAGTAGGGGACCTGCATGATGTCTCCTCCCAACCCTACATCCCCCCTTACCGTCGCTCCGCACAGGCAGCGATGTCGGCAGACGCCCAGGGGGAAGGGGACGGGGAAGGTGTCGGGGGAGGGCGGGGCCTCACGGATGGCGCTGCCGATTCCACCACCGCCACCACCCCTCTCTTTCCCCCCCTGTCCCCATCTGCACCCGCCCCAGGGCAGGCCGCCATCCATGCGCAGGCTAGCCCATCGCGGCAGGCGGCCATCGGCGGCCACACCCCCTCACCCTCCCAGCTGCCCCATTCTCACACTCCTCACCCACAGCAGGGGGCGGTCACACGGCAGCCACTGATTGGACAGTTTGCCCAACCCCACACAGGTCGCCGGAAGAAGGGCAAGGGCAAGGGGACACCCGGGGCAGCCCGGCGCTCGGAGCAGCCGGACACGACTCCACCCTCTGCTGGCGCGCAGCCCTTACCAGCCACCACCCCTCAGGCGACCCCATCATTGCCCCCGGCCTGCCACCCACTGCCCTCCCATAACCAGGATGGCGAGCTTCGGACGGTCTCCCTCCCTCGCCCCCTCCCGGGCACGGGAGCAGGCAGAAATGGGTACGACACGAGGACTTCCCGGGAGGTCACCCTGCCCAGTACTGCTCTCGCCCACCTTGCTTACCTACCTACCTTCCTAAGGAGCCTTCTAGCTGCCACTGTTCACGTTACTGTTTCATAAGCTGTTATTAGTGTTTGTATCGGAGGTGTAACGGGAGGGTATCGGCAACGGCTACGAGCGGGTGAGACGGAAGCGGCGGCGAACACGACCCTGCGGTGTCGAGCGATTTTTCGCCACCCCCCGTCGATCTCGCCATCCCACCCCGGCTAAGTCCCCCGTCACTCTCGCTCGCCTCCCACCCTCCTCCCTCTCTCTCTTCTAGTTCACCGCGTCGCGCTTTTCTCAGCTTTCTAGTTTCTAAGCTTAGATCCGCGCCACGCCACCTAACCCTAAAATCGGTCGCCAGCACCAGTTCGTTTTTCCGTTCGTTACAGCGTCCTCTCTCCCCCTCTCACTTAGCGCACCCTTCGTGTATTCCCTGGCGCGCCGTCCCCGTATTTCGTTCCCGCGCGAAACTAGGTGAGAACCACGGCTGCATTTGATAGCGCGGTTACCAACTCCTAGCTCGCCGTTCACCTCCTTCCCTTCCCGCCGTTTTCCCTCCCTTCCTCCCGCCGTCCCCCACGTTTCCTGCCCGCGCGTCACCCCTCTCTCCCAGCGCGCGTCACTCCCTTCCCTTCCCTGCTCGTCGTCCCTCCCTTCCCACCGTCGCCGTCCCTTTTCTCCCGTGCTCGCCGTCCCCTACCCCCCAGCTCGTCGTTCCCCCATTCCCAGCTCGCCTTCCCCCCTTTCCCTGCCCGCCGTCCCCCCCCTTATTCCCTGCTCGCCGCCTCCCCCTCTCCCAGCTCGCCGTCCCCCCCTTTTCCCAGCTCACCGTTCCCCCCTTTCCCAGCTCGCCGTCCCCCCCTTCCCCAGCTCGCCATCCCCCCTTTCCCTGCCCGCCGTCCCCCCCTTTCCCAGCTCGCCGTCCCCCCCGTTCCCAGCTCGACGTCCCCCCCCTTTCCCAGCTCGGCTTACCCCCCCTTCCCTGCCCGCCGTCCCCCCCTTTCCCTGCTCCCCGTTCCCCCCTTTCCCAGCTCGCCGTCCCCCCCGTTTCCCTGCCCGCCGTCCCCCCCTTTCCCTGCTCCCCGTTCCCCCCTTTCCCAGCTCGCCGTCCCCCCGTTTCCCTGCCCGCCGTCCCCCCCTTTCCCTGCTCTCCGTTCCCCCCGTTCCCAGCTCGACGTCCCCTCCGTTCCCAGCTCGACGTCCCCCCCCGTTCCCAGCTCGACGTCCCCCCCGTTCCCAGCTCGACGTCCCCCCCCTTTCCCAGCTCTCCATCCCCCTCTTTCCCTGCTCGCCGTCCCCCCCGTTCCCAGCTCGACGTCCCCCCCCTTTTCCCTGCTCGGCTTACCCCCCCTTCCCTGCCCGCCGTCCCCCCCTTTCCCAGCTCGCCGTCCCCCCCTTTCCCTGCTCGCCGTTCCCCCTTTCCCAGCTCGCCGTCCCCCCCTTTCCCTGCTCGCCGTTCCCCCCTTTCCCAGCTCGCCGTTCCCCCCCTTTTCCCTGCCCGTCGTCCCCCCCTTTCCCTGCTCGCCGTTCCCCCCGTTCCCAGCTCGACGTCCCCCCCCTTCCCAGCTCGACGTCCCCCCCCTTCCCTAGCTCGCCATCCCCCCCTTTCCCTGCTCCCCGTTCCCCCTTTCCCAGCTCGCCGTCCCCCCCGTTTCCCTGCCCGCCGTCCCCCCCTTTCCCTGCTCTCCGTTCCCCCGTTCCCAGCTCGACGTCCCCTCCGTTCCCAGCTCGACGTCCCCCCCGTTCCCAGCTCGACGTCCCCCCGTTCCCAGCTCGACGTCCCCCCCCTTTCCCTGCTCGCCGTCCCCCCCGTTCCCAGCTCGACGTCCCCCTCCTTTTCCCTGCTCGGCTTACCCCCCCTTCCCTGCCCGCCGTCCCCCCTTTCCCAGCTCGCCGTCCCCCCCTTTCCCAGCTCGCCGTCCCCCCCTTTCCCTGCCCGCCGTCCCCCCCTTTCCCTGCTCGCCGTTCCCCCCGTTCCCAGCTCGACGTCCCCCCCCTTCCCAGCTCGACGTCCCCCCCCTTCCCTAGCTCGCCATCCCCCCCTTTCCCTGCTCGCCGTTCCCCCCTTTCCCAGCTCGCCGTCCCCCCCGTTCCCAGCTCGCCGTCCCCCCCTTTCCCTGCTCGCCGTTCCCCCTTTCCCTGCTCAACGTCCCCTCTGCCCCTGCTCGCCATTTCCCCCCCTGCCTTGCTTGCCGCTTTCCCCTTTCCCCCGGCTCGCAATTTCTCCCTCTCCCCAGCTCGCCACCTCGCCCTCTGTCCAACTCGCCGCTGCCCCCTTCCCCCCAGCTCGCCGCTTCCCCGGCTCCACAGCTCGCCGTTTCCCCCCCTGCCGCTGCCTTTCCCCACGTTCCCCGCTGCTTTTCCACCCCCGCCCGGTACTTCTCCCCCCTCTGCCCGCCGCTTCCCCCCTTGCCGCTGCTTTCTCCCCCTCGCCCGCTGCTCCTCCCTCTCGCCCGCTGCTGTTCCCCCTCCTTAGCTCGCTGTTTCTCCCCTTTTTTGCCGCCGCTTCCCCCCCCCTTGCCTCTACTCTCCCTCCCTTGTCGCCGATTTTCCCCCCTTTGCCTCTTGCTTTTCCCCCCTTGTCCATGGCTTCCCCCCCCAAGCCACTGCTCTGTCCCTCCTAGCCCGCAGTTTTTCCCTCGCCTGCCCGCTGTCTTTCACCCTGTGCCGCTCATTGTCCCCCCAATGCACGGTGCTGAGCTGTTTTCCCCCACTTGCCCGCTGCTTTTCCCCCCTTGCCCGTTGCCTTTTTCCCCCTCGCCCGTTGCCTTTCCCTCACTCGCCCTTGCTCTTCCCCCCCTTACCCGCTGCTATTCCCCCCCACGGACGCTGTTTCTCCCCCCTCTGCCCACTGCTCTTCCCCCCTTGCCCGCCGATTTTCTCCCCCTTGCCCGTTGTTTTTCAGTCCCTTGCCCCTGCCTTAGCCCCCTTGCCCGCTGTTATTCCCCCCTTGTCCGCTGCTTTTCCCCCCTGTTCTGCTGCTTTTCCCCCCTTCGCCCGCTGCTTTTCCCCCCTTCTTTGCCTCGCTGCTATCATCCCCCCCCCCCCCCCCTAGCCTCTGCTTTTCCCCACTTCACCTGCCCGCCGCTCTCCCGCTTCCCTGCCCGCTGCTCTCCCGTTTCCCTGCCTGCTGCTCCCCCCCACTTTCCCTGCCCACTGCTCCCCCCACTTTCCCTGCCCGCTGCTCCCCCGCTTCCCTGCCCGCTGCTCCCCGGCTTCCCCCACTCCCCCCCAGGTCTCCCCCCCTTTTTCCCCACCAGGCTTCCCCATATACCCCTCCAGTTTCCCCCTAGTACCTCCCTGTCTCCCCCACCCCTCTTCCCGGTTCCGTGATATCTCCCCCCACTGTTTCCCAGGAGTCTGCCCTCCGTTTTCCCCATCCCTCCCCCCGTGCCCACTACTCTTCCCCCTCCTTGTCCACTGCTGTTCCCCCTCCTTGCCCACTGCTTGTCCCTACTTGCCCACTAACTCTACGCACTTACCCACACATTTTCTCTCCCGGCCCACGCGTTTCCCCCCCGTGCCCATTGCTTTTCCCCCGTGCCCACTGCCATTCCCCTCCTTGCCCCCCACTTTGGTCCAGTATCGTTCCCCCTCACTGCCCGCTGCTACTTTTCCCTGCTGCCTTTCCTCACGTGCCCGCTGCTTCTCCCCCCTTGCCGCCGCTTTTCCCCCCTTGCCCGCTTGCTCTTCTACTCTCGCCAGTTGCTTTTCCCTTCCTTGCCCCTGCTTTTCCCCCCCTCGCCCGCGGTTATCCCCCCCTTGTCCGCCGCTTGTCCCACCCCTTGCCCGCTGTTTTCCCCTCTTTGCCCGTTGCCTTCCCCTCCCTTGGCCCTGCCTTTCCCCCCATTGCCCGCTGTTATTTTCCCCCCATTACCCGCTGCTTTTCCCCCTGGCCTGTTGCTTTTCCCACTGGCCTGTTGCTCGCCCGTTGCCTTTCCCACCCTTGCCCGTTGCCTTTCCCCCCCCTTGCCTGTTGCTTTTCCCCCTTTGCCGCTCGTCTTCCCCCCTTACCCGCTGATTCTCCCCCCTTGCCCGCTGCTTTACCCTCTCTTGCCCCTGCTTTCCCCCCCTTGCCCGCTGTTATTCGCCCATTGCCAGCTGCTTTTCCCCCTGGTCCACTGCTTCTCCTCCCTTGCCCGCCGCCATTCCCCCCTGGCCCGTTGCTTCCCCCCCCCCCCCTGTGTTCCCGCTGCTTTCCCCCCGCCTCCCCGCTGTTCTTCCCCCCCTGCCCGTTTTGCTGCCCATTTGGGTCCCACCCATCCTCCGGTCCTCTCTCCACTCCCGACCCTCTCCTTTGATTACCCACTTCCCCCCCGCTTTCCCCCATTTTCTTCGTGTTCCTCCCCCCTTTCCCCCCTTGGTTCCCCCACTCTTATCCCCGCCCGCTCTCCCCTACTGTCCCCCGTTGTTTCCCCCTCGTATTCTATCCTGCTTTCCACTCTTTTCCCCTTGTTTCCCCCTCCCTTCCCCCTAGCCCACTACTTTTCTCCCATTGCCCACTGCTTTTCCCCCCTTGCCCACCATTCCTCCCCCCATTGCCCACTGCCTTTCCCCTCCTTGCCCACCCCTTCCTCCCCATTGCCCACTGCTGTTCCCCGCCCTGCCCTCTACTCTTCCCCCGCTGCCCACTGACCTTCCCCCTGGCCCACTGATTTCCCCCCCTTGCCCACTGCTCTTCGCCTCTTTTGCCCAGTGCGTTTTCTCCCTCTTCCTCGCTGCTTTTCCGCCCCTCGCCCTCTGATTTTCCCCTCCTTGCTCCCACCAACTCACACGTCAGTTTCCACCCCCGAAATCGTCCCGCCCCACACCCGGTGCTCTTCACTCCTCCCCCTCCTCTCCTTCCAGTTCCCCCTGTCCCTGCAGGCTGTTTCTTTCCATCTTGTCCTATCCCCGTTTCCCCACCTTCACCCCGTACGTCTCCCCACAGTCGAGCGCCATAACCCTCCTCTAATCGCCGCCCCCTGTTCTCTCCCTATCCTCCCCCCCCTGTCCCCCTCCCCACTCCACGCAGTTTCTCTGATCTCACCTTCTTTCCCCGCTGTTTTCCTCCCTCCCTTCCCCCCCTGCTTCCCCCTCCTCCCCCTCTTCTAGCATGCAGTCCCCGTGGCCATGACCCACACCCCCTGCAATGCGGGGGAGGGCGGCCCCGGTGCTCTCCGACGGTCAGGCAGAGCCGGTGGCCGCCCTTCCCCCTACTCATCGTCTTCCATCCCCCCACCCAACAGTATCGCCCCGCCAGCCCGCGTCGAGGTGACCGTCGGCAAGGGCGGGGACCAGGTGCGCTCTGCCTCGCGAGGCCGGAAACGACCACGGGAGAAGGCAGAGGAAGGCCCCGCCTCACGCCTGGAGAAGCAGGAGCGCGAAGCCACACGCTCGCGCTCCCATGGTCGCAAAAAGTCATCTGCCCCCCCTCCGCCACTCCCACAGGCCAACACTAGCGCCAGGAGAGCCCCCACCTCCTCCACACCCATGGCCACAGGTAGCAAGGCTGGCACAGGTGAGGCCGCAGCAGGGCCTGTGGCAGGGGAGGGGGATGCGGCAGCACCGGGGGGTCCTGCAGAGGTGGCAGCAGAGATGGGGGTGTGGGAGGTGAAAGTGGGGGTGACGGAGAGGGAGGAGGGGGAAAGATCGGCAGAGACGGTGGGGGCTGGTGAGGACTCAGAGTGGGACGAGGCCGGGGACTCGGATGGGGACAACGCGAAGGACTCGGATTGGGTTTTGGAGGGCGCCGAGGACTCGGATGAGGACGTAGTTGAGCTCATAGCACCCGCTCCTAGTGCAGCCAGGCTCGAGGCCGTGTCCTCAGCAGGGGAGCCAGCGACGGGAGCCGTGGGGTTGGCAGGAGCGGCAGCTGGAGCGGAGGCGGAGGGGGAGGTGGCACGGGCTGGGGTAGAGAGGGCAGCATTAGAGGGTATGGCCCGGGCCTATGCGCGGTCCATGGCCGCATGTGGTGCGGCGCCGGAGGCAGCAGCAGGAGAGGCTGCAGGTGTGGCAACTGCAGGGGCGGTTGCAACAGTGACAGCCATCAGGACCGCGGCAAAGGAGGCTGCCGCAGGAGTCACCGCAGGGGGTACTCCAGCGGAAGCTGCTATGGCAGAGGCGGAGGCAGGAGAGGCTGCATGGGGGAAGGTGGAAAAGGCGGCTGCAGAGGCGGCAGCAGCACGGGCTGTAGCCGCAGGGGGAGGAACGACAGCCGTGGTGGGAGGGGCGGCTGTGGGGGCTGCCGCAAAGGTCTTTGCAGAAGTGGCAGCAGCTCCAGCACCGGCAGAGGCGCAGGCACCTGGGCCAGCTGCAGCGGGGGCGGCAGAAGGAGACCCTGCAGAGGTAGCAGCCGCTGGGGGTGGGGCCGCTCCAGAGTTGGCAGCAGCCGGGGGGGTGGTCGCGGCGGCGGCAGCGACAGCTGGGGCTGCAGCAGAGACGGTGGCAGCGGGAGCATGGGCAGCGGCGGCAACAGCTGGGGCCTCCGCGGAGGAGGCGGCAGCAATGGATCATGCAAGAGGTGCATCGGCTCGGGCTCGGGCTCGGGATGCGGCAGAGGCAGCAGCAGCAGGGGCCACAGGGGCAGCCGGGGCGGATTTGGGGGCAGCAGCAACAGCAGGCGCCCCTGCAGAGGCGGCAGAGGCGGGAGCAGCGGCGGTGCAGGCGGCGACAGCGGCAGGAGCTGGAGCTGCCACCGCAGAGGAGGCAGCAGCAGCCGATCTTGCGAGGGGCGCAGCGACCGGGGCTCGGGATGCCGCAGAGGCGGTGATGGCTGGGGCCGCTGCAGCGGCCAGGGTGGCTGCCGGGGAAGCAGATGAAGGAGTCCCTGCTGAGGCGGCGGGGGCAGGGACAACGGCAGAGGCAGCAGCAGCAGCAGCGGCAGCAGCAGCAACAGGAGCACGTGCAGGGGCGGCTGCTGGTGCGGCAGGGATAGGAGAGCCGCCGGAGGCGGCAGCAGCGGCAAGGCTACCTACGGCGGAGGAGGCAGGAAAGGGAGCTGTTGTACGCGCTCTCGCACGGGCTATTACCGGGGGGGGGATGTATGCACGTCTGGCAGCTGCTGCGGCAGCAGCGGAGGAGGCAGAGATAGGGGCCGCTGCGGGGAAGGCAGCCAGGGGGAGCGCCACAGGGAAACCAGCAGCAAGTGCTGCGGCAGGGAAGGCAGCAGCGGGGGCAGCGGCAGGGAAAGTAGCAATGGGTCCCGCTGTTTCGCAGGCAGCGGCTAGCAGGGCCGCGACAGCGGCGGCGGCGGCAGCGGCGGCGGCGGCGGCTGTGGTGGTGTCAGCGGAAAAAGGGGCAGCAGGGGGTGCCGCACCGGGGGCAGCAGCGGAAGCGGCCGCAGGGAAGGTAGCAGCAGGATCAGCAGGGCGTGCCGCGGGGGAGACAACCGCCGGGGTAGCTGCGGGGATGGCAGCAACAGGAAGGGCAGCTGGGGTGGCAGCAGGGAAGGCAGCAACAGCAGCAACACGGGCAGCGGCAAGAGGTGCTGCACGGGAGAGGGCAGCGGGAGCCGCTGCAGGAAGGGCAGCAGCTGCGGCAGCTCCAGCAGGAGGTGTGGTGAGAGAGACAGCAGCCGGAGCGGCTGAAGGTAAGGCAGTAACTGGGATGAGGGCTAAGGAGGCCGGACACAGGGCAGCACCTGGGCCGGAAGAGACTGTCTCATCCCCTCCCACCCCCCCCATCTCCCCCCTCCCCCCCCCTCCTTCCCCTCCTCCCCCTACTTCCCTTGCGGTCCCCCGTCCCCCCCTTCCCCCCCTACTCCCAATCCCATGCATGCAGGGGCTTCACCAGCGGCGCAGGGCCCTCGCTGTGGGCTACAACCCAGGGCTATGGGCGGGGCGGCCCGAGCCTTGGCGTTTTTGGCGGACCCCTGTACACCCGAGCCAATGATCGGGACGCAGTCTCACCACTCCCTCTCCCCCCACACCCTCCCCTTACAGCCGAGTGTGCCCCAGGAGGCGGCCGCCGAGGATGGCTCGGACAATGATGGCCCGCTCGCCGGATATATCTTGGTCGACTCAACCCTTCCTTGCTCTCCCTCAGCAGCCCTCGCGCCGGCGCCAGGAGCACAAACAACAGCCGGGCAGGTTGCTCCCTCCCCCTCCCCACCCACGCAGGCTGTCGCGCCGGACGCCTCGACCTGGGTAGCACAAGGAGGGGCGGCTCTTGCCCAACCCCCCTCGTCAGTCCGCCCCCAACCCTGTTCCACCCCAGGTGCCTCCCGCCCGGCACAGGGCACACACCCTGTCGGCCACACGGGCGCTTCCCATAGGAACGGTGAGCGGGGTGCACCCCTCGCAAGGGGGAGCAACCCGAATCAACTCCCTCTCGGCCCTCGCCGTCTCACCCCGGCTGATCCCACTTCCCAAGCCCCACAGCTAAGCTTCGGGCAAGGCGGGGGTCCCTCGGCGCCCACTCTGCTTCCCTTCCCGGCCGTGGGCCCTACCTTGCCCGCGCCCCGCCCCCCCCCTCCCTCTCCCACACATCCCACCCGCCCCCTTTCCCCGGCAATCCAGCCGGAACTCCCCTCGCGCCCTTTCGTGCAGCCCCCAGGTTTCATGTCCCGCACGGCAGGCGACCACGGGAGTGCCTCCCTCTTGGGCCCTCCCTTGTCACTTCCGTCTCACACACCCTCCAGCCCAGCGCTGGGGCACCCACCCCTCCCACCCCCTCCATTGAGCGTCCCACCCACGCTTAACCCTTACCCTGCTGCCCAACCACCTCTCTTGCCCTGCCCCCCCACTCCCGCCCGGCCCATCAGCGCGAACAGGGGCGAGGCGAGGGCGGCCCCCCCATCTCACCCTCCCCCTTCCTGCCCCACACACTCCTTGCCCGTCAGTATTCAGGTGGTCGCAGCGAGCCACCCATCCGCGATGGACGTCGACAAAATAGGAGTAGGGGACCTGCATGATGTCTCCTCCCAACCCTACATCCCCCCTTTCCGTCGCTCCGCACAGGCAGCGATGTCGGCAGACGCCCAGGGGGAAGGGGACGGGGAAGGTGTCGGGGGAGGGCGGGGCATTGCGGATGGTGCTGCCGATTCCACCACCGCCACCACCCCTCACTTTCCCCCCCTGTCCCCATCTGCACCCGCCCCAGGGCAAGCCGCCATCCATGCGCAGGCTAGCCCATCGCGGCAAGCGGCCATCGGCGGCCACACCCCCTCACCCTCCCAGCTGCCCCATTCTCACACTCCTCACCCACAGCAGGGGGCGGTCACACGGCAGCCGCTGATTGGACAGTTTGCCCAACCCCACACAGGTCGCCGGAAGAAGGGCAAGGGCACGGGGACACCCGGGGCAGCCCGGCGCTCGGAGCAGCCGGACACGACTCCACCCTCTGCTGGCGTGCAGCCCTTACCATCCACCACCCCTCAGGCGACCCCATCATTGCCCCCGGCCCGCCACCCACTGCCCTCCCATAACCAGGATGGCGAGCTTCGGACGGTCTCCCTCCCTCACCCCACCCAGGCCCCACTCCCCTGTCACCCACCCATCCCGCCATTGGCCCCCCACCAGACGGTCGCCGCCGATGCCCCATCCGCGATGGAAATCGAACCGGAGGCGGAAGAGGTGTCGTTAGCCTCTCGCAAGCAAGCCTATATCCCCCCCCAGCGTCGGTCCCTACCACCCGCCTCTTTGTCCCCCTCCGGTCCACAACCTCCGACCCAGGTCAGGGCCCACGGTGGTTCGCCCACCACGACCAACCAGCCTGCCCTGCTCCCCCTACCCACAGGCGGACAGTCGCAGGGGGCAGATGGGGAGACGGAGGCGGCAGTTGCCGACCTTCTCAGGATATGGGACACGTCCGCCACCCCCTCTACGCCCGCTTGTCCGGGTCGGGTGGGGGGGGGCACCGTGGACTCTGCCCCAGACATCTCCCATGCCCCCCCCTCCCCCCCGTCCACCGCCCTCACACCGGAGCGCATGGTGATCGATGACTCCGACGCGGCCCCCGACCACCCGCTCCCCTCCCCCCAGGATGCAGGGGCCGCACCTAGGCCCTCGGGGCCCCCGCCGATCCCTCCCCCTCTTTCGACATCGCCGCCGCCGCTGACCCCCGTCCGACCCCAGGTGGCAGGTGAGCCTCCTTCCCCGAGGGCGGGCGACTATCGACCGGACCCGGTCGTCGAGCCGGCCGCCTCCACCGCGAGCTCTGACGATACCGCCCACACCGATCACGCGGACGAGTCCACGCCAGCCCATGAGGTGAGATGTCCCACGTGTCTGAACCTCATGGCGGACGATAGAGCTCTCCGCCACCACACACCTCACTGCACCCCGAGCGATGAGGCACGCCGTGTGCAGGCCCGCCAGGAGGCCGCCTCGGTCGGCGGGTCACTCTCACGCCCGGGTTCATCTGTCCCGGTCTTTTCCGACGCGCAGTGGGCGCAGCTGGACTCTGTGGATTGGAGGGAGTATTTCTCTCCGTCCCGGACGCATGCTCGCCCGCTCCGGCGCATTCCGCCGAGGGTCCGCGGAGGCATCTCTGATGTCCTCCGCGCGATCACCGCCCGTATGGAGCAGTATCCGGATGCCGACGGGCCCCACTTCTTGTTCACGGCGGTGCCGACGCTGTTCTTAGCGCCAGCTACTCCACCAGAGCGGGGCCACACAGCTTCCATCGCGGCTCGCGTCGCGCGCTTCTTCCGAGGTGAGTGGGACTCTCTCTTCTCCGACGCGCTGCGTCGTCGCACGCCCCTGCCCACCCGCACATCACGTCGCACCCCCGTCACCACCACGTCGGGAGACGAGCGTCGGATTGCGCGTTGCCTGCGCTTGGCAGCGTGCAACGAGACATCTCGTGCGTGCGCGGCACTGGAGTCGGCCGAGGCGGCTCCAGACACGGATCGCACGGTGCATAGCCTACGGGCTAAGCACCCTAGCGCGGAGCGCCCTCTACCGGAGTGGCTCTCCACCTTCCACGAGGACGGCCTCGTGCTCTCTGCCACCCACTTGCGCCAGGCCATTTTCACTGCACCGCGGGGCTCGTCGGGGGGACCGACCGGATGGGTGGCAGAACACCTCCGTGACACCTACTTGGCATTCCCACAGACCCTACCCTCCTTGCTGTCTGTGTACCAGCTCTGGCTCGGAGGACGCTGCCCCTCAGCTGCGCGTTCTCTTTTGGCCTCGTCCACCCTTGTGGCTCTCGCGAAGCCGAACGGGGACGTGCGGCCGATCGCCATTGGAGAGGTGCTCGTGCGCGTCCTCTCCCGCGCAGTCTGCCTCCAGCTCCGCGACCAGATGGCGAGAGTGTTCCTCGCGTCACAGCAGTTCGGAGTCGGGGTCACGTGTGGCACAGAGGTCACCGTTAGAGGCGTTGTCCGCGCTCTAGCTGACCACCCAGGCTGGGTGGTTCTGCAGCTGGACGTGGCCAACGCCTTTAACTCTTTCTTTCGCGACGTCTTGTTCCAGGCACTGCATGCCAGTCCTGAGTTCAGGTGCCTCATTCCTTTCATCCGTCTTTTCTACGGCACGCCGTCCGATCTGCTCTATCGGACCGGCAGGGGAGTCACCACGATGCACTCGGAGCGCGGCACTCGGCAGGGAGACCCGCTGAGCCCGTTTCTCTACGCCCTCACGCAGCGCCTTGCCCTGGAGCCCGTCCTGGCAGGGGGTGACGTCCAGCTCTGGTCGTACGCCGACGACACCTACCTCGTGGGCCCTCCGGACAGGGTGCTGCACCACTTCACGGGGGTCGTGAGGCGCTTGGGCGGGTTGGGCCTTGCTGTCCAGCCGCACAAGTGCCTTGTCCATCACACGTCGGTGATCCTGCCTCGCGACGTGCAGGCTTTCACCGATCTGGGCATCGAGGTCGCACGCCGGGGGCTCACCGTGACGGGCGTCCCGGTTGGCACCGAGACCTTTGTGACGACCAGCCTGCGGGACCGACTGGAGAGGATGGCCGGGGTGCTGCCGTGGCTCCCGAGGCTGCGGCAGCCACAGACAGCGGCGCGCCTGCTCTCCGCGTGTGTCAGCACACGTCCGCAGTACTTGGCGCGGACAGTCCCCCCATCACCAGAGGTACGTGCCATCTTTGCAGCGTGGGACGCGCGCTTGGGAGCGACCTTCCAGCAGCTCCTGGTGCGAGGTACGTGGAGGGAGGGGGACGCGATCTGCGGGGCAGCCCTGGAGCAGGCTTTCCTCCCGATTCGCATCGGGGGCTTCGGCATCCGACGCATGGAGCGCATCGCCCCGGTGAGTTATCTCTGTTCGTGGGCGCAGTGCGCACCGATTCTCTGCTCGTTGCCGTCGGTGGGGGAGGGCTTCCGTCAGAGCTTCGCATCAGGTGAGCCCGCCCAGATCGATCCGCACATCATGATGGCTCAGGAGGCCCTGCCGGCGGACGTCCTACGCCTCATGCCGGCCTGGCCTTCTTGCGCGACAGGAGCACCGGACGGCCTTTTCAGAGAGGCCAGCAGACACATCGAGGCGCACGCTTTGGAGTCGGTACGTGCCCGTCATACTGATCCCCTGCATCTTGCCCGTTTGACATCCCTTCAGGGTCCAGGTGCGGGAGCTTGGCTTACGGCGGTACCCTACGCGGACTCCCTGCGCATTCCGGAGGCGCAGTGGCAGGTGGCTTCATGCTTTCGTCTCGGTCTCCCCATTCCCCAGTTAGTCCTGGCAGGTCAGTGCTCGTGCGGAGAGGAGATCGCCGACATGTCGGTGCCGCATCACGCGGTGAGGTGCGCGCGCTTCGCGGTCGCCACGACCATCCACGACACAGTGAAGTTCATGCTTCGTGACTTCGCAGACGAGGCCGGCTTCGCTGTCCAGGTGGAGGACACGGCGCTCATTCCGCACCTGGAGGCGGCGCGAGCTCGACTGCAGGTTTTGCACGCGGGGGAGGGGCAGGGGCAGGAGCGGGCACGACAGACAGGACGGCAGCAGCGGCGGGATCAGGAGGGGGGGGAGAGGCAGGCGGGTGAGGAGGGAGAGAGGCAGGGGGCGGAGGAGGAGCAGGAGGGGCAGCAGCGGCGGTTCGGCAGGGAGGATCAGCAGCAGCAGCAGCAGCAGCAGCAGCAGCAGCAGCCGCAGCAGCAGCAGCAGCAACAGCAGCAGGGCACGGGGGAGAGCCGGCGGGAGGAGGAGCAGCAGCAGCAGCGGCAGGGTGGCGGAGAGGGGCAGCAGCGGCGCGCGGGGGGAGAGGGGCAGGTACAGCAGCCGCTGGGAGCTCAGGCAGGGCCGCAGCAGGGGGCCCAGGCAGGACAGCAGCAGGGGACAGGGGACGGGCTCTTGGGCAGGGCACCGCCGAGGCGTGTGCGTTTCGCGCGCGAGGCGGTAGGAGAGGCGCACGCGGAGGGGAGGACAGGCGAGGGTGGGCTAGAGGGGTCGGTAGTAGGCGGGGGTATAGGAGGGACGGAGGGCGGGAGGGGAGGGGGGGCGGGAGGGAGAGAGGAGATGGCGGAAGGGGCGGGGGTGGCAGGGGGAGTGGGGGAGGGGAGAGCGGGAGGGAGGAGAGGGAGGGTGAGAGGGGGAGTTGGGAGGGGGACCACGACGACCAGAGGAGGGACATCAGGGGACCAGACAGAGCAGCAGCCCGCGCAGCAGCAGCAGACGCCAGCCGCTCGCACAGGCCGCATAGGGGCACCCGCCCGCATTCCCGACCTCACCTGCAGGGCGCCGCGAGATGCTTTGATGGTGATTGTAGACGTCTCGGTGGCAGACCCACAGCGGGAGGGGAATGCGCAGTTCAGGCGGATGGCACCCACTCAGATTGGCGGCGCAGCAGCTAGGCGGGTGCAGGACAAGCTGCGACACTGGAGGCCGGTGTTACAGGGGTTGCAGCCGGATCCAGAGTTTTACGCCTGCGTAGTGGAGACTTTTGGGTGCCTGAGTGAGCCACTGCGGCAGTTCCTAGGGCTGTGTGCATCGCGGACAGCACGGCGGAGGAGAGATTCAGGGGCAGGGGATGACGGGTCGGCACGGATATTTGAGACGAGCCTCACTACGCGTCTCTCCGTGGCACTGCAGCGCGCGCAGGCAAATGTGATCATGCAGCATGCAGTGCGGCAGCTGGGCGGCTCCGACAATGGATGGATGCCAGCGCCTGTACCTTTGGGCGCTGGGCAGGGGAGTTGGCACCACATCACAGGGTGCTTCGAGAGTGCAGCAGATATGCAGTACATGTATGATGCATATGTGTAGAAAAACATATATAGGCCGTGCTTGAGACGCTGTGCCCGCGCTGTGCGCGTGGGCTGTTGTTTTGTTAGGTCCCAGGATGTCCCTTTGATATAGTCACACCCCCCCTCCCCTCTTCCCCTCTTCTCTTTCTCTCCTCTATCTCGCTCTCTTCTCCCCCACTCTTTCTGCTACCTTCTTCCTTCCACTATCTTCTCTTTCTTTCCTTCTCTATCTCTTCTCTCTCTCTTTTTTTCTTCTATACCTCTAAACGCTACTATGTCATAATAGCGCAACGCTCATGCCGAAAATCTCATATTTGGCTTTAGAATTGCTATATGACTTGTAACCCTCGTTATTTTTAATGAGAAAACTGCTCTCGCCCACTGGCGCTTAGCTGCGGAGTTCTGATGGGATCCGGCGTAGTAGCCAAGGTATGATCGTACCACGTGCAGTCCTGTCCGCGGTCCGCTTCCCACTCCTCCCCCGAGGCAGCTCCCCTCTTTATAGTCACATCCGCGGTCGTGCCCGCAAGAGGCTCGCCATCTCGCTGGGGGCGGAATGGACGCCCATACGTAGTCGCGCTCCGTGGCGTCCTATGCAGAGAGCGGCCCTCCGCAGAGCGGCGCGACATCGCCGCCCGGGCGGTTCGGAGAAGAATCCTCCTTTCTTTTTCCCACTGCCCCCTCCCGGGCACGGGAGCAGGCAGAAATGGGTACGACACGAGGACTTCCCGGGAGGTCACCCTGCCCAGTACTGCTCTCGCCCACTGGCGCTACGCTGCGGAGTTCTGATGGGATCCGGCGTAGTAGCCAAGGTATGATCGTACCACGTGCAGTCCTGTCCGCGGTCCGCTTCCCACTCCTCCCCCGAGGCAGCTCCCCTCTTTATAGTCACATCCGCGGTCGTGCCCGCAAGAGGCTCGCCATCTCGCTGGGGGCGGAATGGACGCCCATACGTAGTCGCGCTCCGTGGCGTCCTATGCAGAGAGCGGCCCTCCGCAGAGCGGCGCGACATCGCCGCCCGGGCGGTTCGGAGAAGAATCCTCCTTTCTTTTTCCCACTGCCCCCTCCCGGGCACGGGAGCAGGCAGAAATGGGTACGACACGAGGACTTCCCGGGAGGTCACCCTGCCCAGTACTGCTCTCGCCCACTGGCGCTTACGCTGCGGAGTTCTGATGGGATCCGGCGTAGTAGCCAAGGTATGATCGTACCACGTGCAGTCCTGTCCGCGGTCCGCTTCCCACTCCTCCCCCGAGGCAGCTCCCCTCTTTATAGTCACATCCGCGAACGTGCCCGCAAGAGGCTCGCCATCTCGCTGGGGGCGGAATGGACGCCCATACGTAGTCGCGCTCCGTGGCGTCCTATGCAGAGAGCGGCCCTCCGCAGAGCGGCGCGACATCGCCGCCCGGGCGGTTCGGAGAAGAATCCTCCTTTCTTTTTCCCACTGCCCCCTCCCGGGCACGGGAGCAGGCAGAAATGGGTACGACACGAGGACTTCCCGGGAGGTCACCCTGCCCAGTACTGCTCTCGCCCACTGGCGCTACGCTGCGGAGTTCTGATGGGATCCGGCGTAGTAGCCAAGGTATGATCGTACCACGTGCAGTCCTGTCCGCGGTCCGCTTCCCACTCCTCCCCCGAGGCAGCTCCCCTCTTTATAGTCACATCCGCGGTCGTGCCCGCAAGAGGCTCGCCATCTCGCTGGGGGCGGAATGGACGCCCATACGTAGTCGCGCTCCGTGGCGTCCTATGCAGAGAGCGGCCCTCCGCAGAGCGGCGCGACATCGCCGCCCGGGCGGTTCGGAGAAGAATCCTCCTTTCTTTTTCCCACTGCCCCCTCCCGGGCACGGGAGCAGGCAGAAATGGGTACGACACGAGGACTTCCCGGGAGGTCACCCTGCCCAGTACTGCTCTCGCCCACTGGCGCTACGCTGCGGAGTTCTGATGGGATCCGGCGTAGTAGCCAAGGTATGATCGTACCACGTGCAATCCTGTCCGCGGTCCGCTTCCCACTCCTCCCCCGAGGCAGCTCCCCTCTTTATAGTCACATCCGCGAACGTGCCCGCAAGAGGCTCGCCATCTCGCTGGGGGCGGAATGGACGCCCATACGTAGTCGCGCTCCGTGGCGTCCTATGCAGAGAGCGGCCCTCCGCAGAGCGGCGCGACATCGCCGCCCGGGCGGTTCGGAGAAGAATCCTCCTTTCTTTTTCCCACTGCCCCCTCCCGGGCACGGGAGCAGGCAGAAATGGGTACGACACGAGGACTTCCCGGGAGGTCACCCTGCCCAGTACTGCTCTCGCCCACTGGCGCTACGCTGCGGAGTTCTGATGGGATCCGGCGTAGTAGCCAAGGTATGATCGTACCACGTGCAGTCCTGTCCGCGGTCCGCTTCCCACTCCTCCCCCGATGCAGCTCCCCTCTTTATAGTCACATCCGCGGTCGTGCCCGCAAGAGGCTCGCCATCTCGCTGGGGGCGGAATGGACGCCCATACGTAGTCGCGCTCCGTGGCGTCCTATGCAGAGAGCGGCCCTCCGCAGAGCGGCGCGACATCGCCGCCCGGGCGGTTCGGAGAAGAATCCTCCTTTCTTTTTCCCACTGCCCCCTCCCGGGCACGGGAGCAGGCAGAAATGGGTACGACACGAGGACTTCCCGGGAGGTCACCCTGCCCAGTACTGCTCTCGCCCACTGGCGCTTACGCTGCGGAGTTCTGATGGGATCCGGCGTAGTAGCCAAGGTATGATCGTACCACGTGCAGTCCTGTCCGCGGTCCGCTTCCCACTCCTCCCCCGAGGCAGCTCCCCTCTTTATAGTCACATCCGCGAACGTGCCCGCAAGAGGCTCGCCATCTCGCTGGGGGCGGAATGGACGCCCATACGTAGTCGCGCTCCGTGGCGTCCTATGCAGAGAGCGGCCCTCCGCAGAGCGGCGCGACATCGCCGCCCGGGCGGTTCGGAGAAGAATCCTCCTTTCTTTTTCCCACTGCCCCCTCCCGGGCACGGGAGCAGGCAGAAATGGGTACGACACGAGGACTTCCCGGGAGGTCACCCTGCCCAGTACTGCTCTCGCCCACTGGCGCTACGCTGCGGAGTTCTGATGGGATCCGGCGTAGTAGCCAAGGTATGATCGTACCACGTGCAGTCCTGTCCGCGGTCCGCTTCCCACTCCTCCCCCGAGGCAGCTCCCCTCTTTATAGTCACATCCGCGAACGTGCCCGCAAGAGGCTCGCCATCTCGCTGGGGGCGGAATGGACGCCCATACGTAGTCGCGCTCCGTGGCGTCCTATGCAGAGAGCGGCCCTCCGCAGAGCGGCGCGACATCGCCGCCCGGGCGGTTCGGAGAAGAATCCTCCTTTCTTTTTCCCACTGCCCCCTCCCGGGCACGGGAGCAGGCAGAAATGGGTACGACACGAGGACTTCCCGGGAGGTCACCCTGCCCAGTACTGCTCTCGCCCACTGGCGCTACGCTGCGGAGTTCTGATGGGATCCGGCGTAGTAGCCAAGGTATGATCGTACCACGTGCAGTCCTGTCCGCGGTCCGCTTCCCACTCCTCCCCCGATGCAGCTCCCCTCTTTATAGTCACATCCGCGGTCGTGCCCGCAAGAGGCTCGCCATCTCGCTGGGGGCGGAATGGACGCCCATACGTAGTCGCGCTCCGTGGCGTCCTATGCAGAGAGCGGCCCTCCGCAGAGCGGCGCGACATCGCCGCCCGGGCGGTTCGGAGAAGAATCCTCCTTTCTTTTTCCCACTGCCCCCTCCCGGGCACGGGAGCAGGCAGAAATGGGTACGACACGAGGACTTCCCGGGAGGTCACCCTGCCCAGTACTGCTCTCGCCCACTGGCGCTTACGCTGCGGAGTTCTGATGGGATCCGGCGTAGTAGCCAAGGTATGATCGTACCACGTGCAGTCCTGTCCGCGGTCCGCTTCCCACTCCTCCCCCGATGCAGCTCCCCTCTTTATAGTCACATCCGCGAACGTGCCCGCAAGAGGCTCGCCATCTCGCTGGGGGCGGAATGGACGCCCATACGTAGTCGCGCTCCGTGGCGTCCTATGCAGAGAGCGGCCCTCCGCAGAGCGGCGCGACATCGCCGCCCGGGCGGTTCGGAGAAGAATCCTCCTTTCTTTTTCCCACTGCCCCCTCCCGGGCACGGGAGCAGGCAGAAATGGGTACGACACGAGGACTTCCCGGGAGGTCACCCTGCCCAGTACTGCTCTCGCCCACTGGCGCTACGCTGCGGAGTTCTGATGGGATCCGGCGTAGTAGCCAAGGTATGATCGTACCACGTGCAGTCCTGTCCGCGGTCCGCTTCCCACTCCTCCCCCGAGGCAGCTCCCCTCTTTATAGTCACATCCGCGGTCGTGCCCGCAAGAGGCTCGCCATCTCGCTGGGGGCGGAATGGACGCCCATACGTAGTCGCGCTCCGTGGCGTCCTATGCAGAGAGCGGCCCTCCGCAGAGCGGCGCGACATCGCCGCCCGGGCGGTTCGGAGAAGAATCCTCCTTTCTTTTTCCCACTGCCCCCTCCCGGGCACGGGAGCAGGCAGAAATGGGTACGACACGAGGACTTCCCGGGAGGTCACCCTGCCCAGTACTGCTCTCGCCCACTGGCGCTACGCTGCGGAGTTCTGATGGGATCCGGCGTAGTAGCCAAGGTATGATCGTACCACGTGCAGTCCTGTCCGCGGTCCGCTTCCCACTCCTCCCCCGAGGCAGCTCCCCTCTTTATAGTCACATCCGCGAACGTGCCCGCAAGAGGCTCGCCATCTCGCTGGGGGCGGAATGGACGCCCATACGTAGTCGCGCTCCGTGGCGTCCTATGCAGAGAGCGGCCCTCCGCAGAGCGGCGCGACATCGCCGCCCGGGCGGTTCGGAGAAGAATCCTCCTTTCTTTTTCCCACTGCCCCCTCCCGGGCACGGGAGCAGGCAGAAATGGGTACGACACGAGGACTTCCCGGGAGGTCACCCTGCCCAGTACTGCTCTCGCCCACTGGCGCTACGCTGCGGAGTTCTGATGGGATCCGGCGTAGTAGCCAAGGTATGATCGTACCACGTGCAGTCCTGTCCGCGGTCCGCTTCCCACTCCTCCCCCGAGGCAGCTCCCCTCTTTATAGTCACATCCGCGGTCGTGCCCGCAAGAGGCTCGCCATCTCGCTGGGGGCGGAATGGACGCCCATACGTAGTCGCGCTCCGTGGCGTCCTATGCAGAGAGCGGCCCTCCGCAGAGCGGCGCGACATCGCCGCCCGGGCGGTTCGGAGAAGAATCCTCCTTTCTTTTTCCCACTGCCCCCTCCCGGGCACGGGAGCAGGCAGAAATGGGTACGACACGAGGACTTCCCGGGAGGTCACCCTGCCCAGTACTGCTCTCGCCCACTGGCGCTTACGCTGCGGAGTTCTGATGGGATCCGGCGTAGTAGCCAAGGTATGATCGTACCACGTGCAGTCCTGTCCGCGGTCCGCTTCCCACTCCTCCCCCGAGGCAGCTCCCCTCTTTATAGTCACATCCGCGAACGTGCCCGCAAGAGGCTCGCCATCTCGCTGGGGGCGGAATGGACGCCCATACGTAGTCGCGCTCCGTGGCGTCCTATGCAGAGAGCGGCCCTCCGCAGAGCGGCGCGACATCGCCGCCCGGGCGGTTCGGAGAAGAATCCTCCTTTCTTTTTCCCACTGCCCCCTCCCGGGCACGGGAGCAGGCAGAAATGGGTACGACACGAGGACTTCCCGGGAGGTCACCCTGCCCAGTACTGCTCTCGCCCACTGGCGCTAGCTGCGGAGTTCTGATGGGATCCGGCGTAGTAGCCAAGGTATGATCGTACCACGTGCAGTCCTGTCCGCGGTCCGCTTCCCACTCCTCCCCCGAGGCAGCTCCCCTCTTTATAGTCACATCCGCGAACGTGCCCGCAAGAGGCTCGCCATCTCGCTGGGGGCGGAATGGACGCCCATACGTAGTCGCGCTCCGTGGCGTCCTATGCAGAGAGCGGCCCTCCGCAGAGCGGCGCGACATCGCCGCCCGGGCGGTTCGGAGAAGAATCCTCCTTTCTTTTTCCCACTGCCCCTCCCGGGCACGGGAGCAGGCAGAAATGGGTACGACACGAGGACTTCCCGGGAGGTCACCCTGCCCAGTACTGCTCTCGCCCACTGGCGCTACGCTGCGGAGTTCTGATGGGATCCGGCGTAGTAGCCAAGGTATGATCGTACCACGTGCAGTCCTGTCCGCGGTCCGCTTCCCACTCCTCCCCCGAGGCAGCTCCCCTCTTTATAGTCACATCCGCGACGTGCCCGCAAGAGGCTCGCCATCTCGCTGGGGGCGGAATGGACGCCCATACGTAGTCGCGCTCCGTGGCGTCCTATGCAGAGAGCGGCCCTCCGCAGAGCGGCGCGACATCGCCGCCCGGGCGGTTCGGAGAAGAATCCTCCTTTCTTTTTCCCACTGCCCCCTCCCGGGCACGGGAGCAGGCAGAAATGGGTACGACACGAGGACTTCCCGGGGGTCACCCTGCCCAGTACTGCTCTCGCCCACTGGCGCTTAGCTGCGGAGTTCTGATGGGATCCGGCGTAGTAGCCAAGGTATGATCGTACCACGTGCAGTCCTGTCCGCGGTCCGCTTCCCACTCCTCCCCCGAGCAGCTCCCCTCTTTATAGTCACATCCGCGAACGTGCCCGCAAGAGGCTCGCCATCTCGCTGGGGGCGGAATGGACGCCCATACGTAGTCGCGCTCCGTGGCGTCCTATGCAGAGAGCGGCCCTCCGCAGAGCGGCGCGACATCGCCGCCCGGGCGGTTCGGAGAAGAATCCTCCTTTCTTTTTCCCACTGCCCCCTCCCGGGCACGGGAGCAGGCAGAAATGGGTACGACACGAGGACTTCCCGGAGGTCACCCTGCCCAGAACTGCTCTCGCCCACTGGCGCTAGCTGCGGAGTTCTGATGGGATCCGGCGTAGTAGCCAAGGTATGATCGTACCACGTGCAGTCCTGTCCGCGGTCCGCTTCCCACTCCTCCCCCGAGGCAGCTCCCCTCTTTATAGTCACATCCGCGAACGTGCCCGCAAGAGGCTCGCCATCTCGCTGGGGGCGGAATGGACGCCCATACGTAGTCGCGCTCCGTGGCGTCCTATGCAGAGAGCGGCCCTCCGCAGAGCGGCGCGACATCGCCGCCCGGGCGGTTCGGAGAAGAATCCTCCTTTCTTTTTCCCACTGCCCCCTCCCGGGCACGGGAGCAGGCAGAAATGGGTACGACACGAGGACTTCCCGGGAGGTCACCCTGCCAGTACTGCTCTCGCCCACTGGCGCTAGCTGCGGAGTTCTGATGGGATCCGGCGTAGTAGCCAAGGTATGATCGTACCACGTGCAGTCCTGTCCGCGGTCCGCTTCCCACTCCTCCCCCGAGGCAGCTCCCCTCTTTATAGTCACATCCGCGAACGTGCCCGCAAGAGGCTCGCCATCTCGCTGGGGGCGGAATGGACGCCCATACGTAGTCGCGCTCCGTGGCGTCCTATGCAGAGAGCGGCCCTCCGCAGAGCGGCGCGACATCGCCGCCCGGGCGGTTCGGAGAAGAATCCTCCTTTCTTTTTCCCACTGCCCCCTCCCGGGCACGGGAGCAGGCAGAAATGGGTACGACACGAGGACTTCCCGGGAGGTCACCCTGCCCAGTACTGCTCTCGCCCACTGGCGCTTAGCTGCGGAGTTCTGATGGGATCCGGCGTAGTAGCCAAGGTATGATCGTACCACATGCAGTCCTGTCCGCGGTCCGCTTCCCACTCCTCCCCCGAGGCAGCTCCCCTCTTTATAGTCACATCCGCGAACGTGCCCGCAAGAGGCTCGCCATCTCGCTGGGGGCGGAATGGACGCCCATACGTAGTCGCGCTCCGTGGCGTCCTATGCAGAGAGCGGCCCTCCGCAGAGCGGCGCGACATCGCCGCCCGGGCGGTTCGGAGAAGAATCCTCCTTTCTTTTTCCCACTGCCCCCTCCCGGGCACGGGAGCAGGCAGAAATGGGTACGACACGAGGACTTCCCGGGCGGTCACCCTGCCCAGTACTGCTCTCGCCCACTGGCGCTTAGCTGCGGAGTTCTGATGGGATCCGGCGTAGTAGCCAAGGTATGATCGTACCACATGCAGTCCTGTCCGCGGTCCGCTTCCCACTCCTCCCCCGAGGCAGCTCCCCTCTTTATAGTCACATCCGCGAACGTGCCCGCAAGAGGCTCGCCATCTCGCTGGGGGCGGAATGGACGCCCATACGTAGTCGCGCTCCGTGGCGTCCTATGCAGAGAGCGGCCCTCCGCAGAGCGGCGCGACATCGCCGCCCGGGCGGTTCGGAGAAGAATCCTCCTTTCTTTTTCCCACTGCCCCCTCCCGGGCACGGGAGCAGGCAGAAATGGGTACGACACGAGGACTTCCCGGGAGGTCACCCTGCCCAGTACTGCTCTCGCCCACTGGCGCTACGCTGCGGAGTTCTGATGGGATCCGGCGTAGTAGCCAAGGTATGATCGTACCACGTGCAGTCCTGTCCGCGGTCCGCTTCCCACTCCTCCCCCGAGGCAGCTCCCCTCTTTATAGTCACATCCGCGAACGTGCCCGCAAGAGGCTCGCCATCTCGCTGGGGGCGGAATGGACGCCCATACGTAGTCGCGCTCCGTGGCGTCCTATGCAGAGAGCGGCCCTCCGCAGAGCGGCGCGACATCGCCGCCCGGGCGGTTCGGAGAAGAATCCTCCTTTCTTTTTCCCACTGCCCCCTCCCGGGCACGGGAGCAGGCAGAAATGGGTACGACACGAGGACTTCCCGGGAGGTCACCCTGCCCAGTACTGCTCTCGCCCACTGGCGCTACGCTGCGGAGTTCTGATGGGATCCGGCGTAGTAGCCAAGGTATGATCGTACCACGTGCAGTCCTGTCCGCGGTCCGCTTCCCACTCCTCCCCCGATGCAGCTCCCCTCTTTATAGTCACATCCGCGGTCGTGCCCGCAAGAGGCTCGCCATCTCGCTGGGGGCGGAATGGACGCCCATACGTAGTCGCGCTCCGTGGCGTCCTATGCAGAGAGCGGCCCTCCGCAGAGCGGCGCGACATCGCCGCCCCCTCGATCCTGCGGGGTCGATCGATTTTTCGCCGCCCCCTCGATCTCGCCACCGCGCCTCGGCATCCCTCGCGTCACTTCACTGTTTCATAGGAGGTTATAAGTGTTTGTATCGGAGGTGTAACGGGAAGGTATCGGCAACGGCTAGGAGCGGGTGAGACGGAAGCGGCGGCGAACACGACCCTGCGGTGTCGAGCAAATTTTCGCCACCCCCGTCGATCTCGCCATCCCACCCCGGCCGAGTTCCCCGTCACTCTTGTTCGCCTTCCACTCCCTCCCTTTCTGTCTCCTAGACTGCCGCGTCGCGCGTTTCTTAGCTCTCTGGTTTCTAAAGCTTAGAACCGCGCCACGCCAGCAAACCCTAATTTAGTCTCCCTGCACGGCATCGTTTTTCACGATGCCCTTTCCTCCCCCGCTAAGCGCTCGACTTTAGGTAAGCACCCACGCCCCCTACGGTGCCCTTCACTCTTTCAGCGCGATTTCCTCTTCCAGAACGCCTTACTCCCCTCTGCCACCGTGCATCAATCCCCACTGCCACTTCGCGTCATTCCCCTCCGCCGCCGCGCGTCATTCCCCCTCTGTCCAGCGCGCCGTTTCCCTCTCACAGTTCGACATTTCCCCCTCTGTCCAGCGGGCCGTTTCCCCCTAGCTCGCCGTTTCTCCCTCCCCCCCAGCTCGACATTTCCCCCTCTTCCTCTGCTCGCCGTGTGCCCTCTTCCCCTGCTCGTCGTCCCTCCCTTCCCTACTCGCCGTTCCCCCCATTCCCAGCTCGCCGTCCCCCCTTTCCCTGCCCGCCGTCCCCCCCTTTTCCCTGCTCGCCGCCTCCCCCTCTCCCAGCTCGCCGTTCCCCCCTTTCCCTGCTCGCCGTCCCCCCCTTTCCCAGCTCGCCGTTCCCCCCTTTCCCAGCTCGCCGTCCCCCCCTTTCCCTGCTCGCCGTCCCCCCTTTCCCAGCTCGCCGTTCCCCCCTTTCCCAGCTCGCCGTCCCCCCCTTTCCCAGCTCGCCGTCCCCCCTTTTTCCCTGCCCGCCGTCCCCCCCGTTCCCTGCTCTCCGTTCCCCCCGTTCCCAGCTCGACGTCCCCCCCCGTTCCCAGCTCGACGTCCCCCCCCTTTCCCAGCTCGCCGTCCCCCCCGTTCCCAGCTCGACGTCCCCCCCCTTTCCCTGCTCGGCTTACCCCCCCTTCCCTGCCCGCCGTCCCCCCCTTTCCCAGCTCGCCGTTCCCCCCTTTCCCAGCTCGCCGTCCCCCCCCTTTTTCCCAGCTCGCCATCCCCCCTTTCCCTGCTCGTCGTTTCCCCCTTCCCCTGCTCGCCGTCCCCCCCTTTCCCAGCTCGCCGTTCCCCCCTTTCCCAGCTCGCCGTCACCCCCCTTCCCCAGCTCGCCATCCCCCCCTTTCCCTGCTCGCTGCCCCCCCCGTTCCCAGCTCGACGTCCCCCCCCTTTCCCTGCTCGGCTTACCCCCCCTTCCCTGCCCGCCGTCCCCCCCTTTTTCCCAGCTCGCCGTCCCCCCCTTTTTCCCTGCCCGCCGTCCCCCCCTTTCCCTGCTCTCCGTTCCCCCCGTTCCCAGCTCGACGTCCCCCCCGTTCCCAGCTCGACGTCCCCCCCCTTTCCCAGCTCGCCATCCCCCCCCTTCCCTGCTCGCCGTCCCCCCTTTCCCAGCTCGCCGTCCCCCCCGTTCCCAACTCGACGTCCCCCCCCTTTCCCTGCTCGGCTTACCCCCCTTCCCTGCCCGCCGTTCCCCCTTTCCCAGCTCGCCGTCCCCCCCTTTCCCAGCTCGCCATCCCCCCCTTTCCCTGCTCGCTGTTTCCCCCTTTCCCTGCTCGCCGTTCCCCCCTTTCCCAGCTCGCCGTCACCCCCCTTCCCCAGCTCGCCATTCCCCCTTTCCCTGCTCGGCTTACCCCCCTTCGCTGCCCGCCGTCCCTCCCTTCCCACCTTGCTGTCCCGTCCCTGCTCGCCATCCCCTACCCCCCAGCTCGCCGTCCCCCCCTTTTCTCAGCTCGCCGTCCCCCCCTATCCCTGCTCGCCGTCCCGCCCTTTCCCTGCTCAACGTCCCCTCTGCCCCTGCTCGCCATTTCCCCCCTGCCTAGCTTGCCGCTTTCCCCTTTTCCCCGGCTCGCAATTTCTCCCTCTCCCCAGCTCGCCACCTCGCCCTCTGTCCAACTCGCCGCTGCCCCCTTCCCCCCAGCTCGCCGCTTCCCCGGCTCCACAGCTCGCCGTTTCCCCCCTGCCGCTGCCTTTCCCCACGTTGCCCGCTGCTTTTCCACCCTCGCCCGGTACTTCTCCCCCCTCTGCCCGCCGCTTCCCCCTTTGCCGCTGCTTTCTCCCCCTCGCCCGCTGCTCCTCCCTCTCGCCCGCTGCTGTTCCCCCTCCTTTGCTCGCTGTTTTCTCCCCTTTTTTGCCGCCGCTTCCCCCCCCTTGCCTCTACTCTCCCTCCCTTGTCGCCAATTTTCCCCCCTTTGCCTCTTGCTTTTCCCCCCTTGTCCATGGCTTTCCCCCCCAAGCCACTGCTCTGTCCCTCCTAGCCCGCAGTTTTTCCCTCGCCTGCCCGCTGTCTTTCACCCTGTGCCGCTCATTGTCCCCCCAATGCACGGTGCTGAGCTGTTTTTCTCCCACTTGCCCGCTGCTTTTCCCCCCTTGCCCGTTGCCTTTTTCCCCCTTGGCCCGTTGCCTTCCCTCACTCGCCCTTGCTCTTCCCCCCCTTACCCGCTGCTATTCCCCCCACGGACGCTGTTTCTCCCCCCTCTGCCCACTGCTCTTCCCCCCTTGCCCGCCGATTTTCTCCCCCTTGCCCGTTGTTTTTCAGTCCCTTGCCCTGCCTTAGCCCCCTTGCCCGCTGTTATTCCCCCTTGTCCGCTGCTTTTCCCCCTGTTCTGCTGCTTTTCCCCCCTGTTCTGCTGCTTTTCCCCCCTTCGCCCGCTGCTTTTCCCCCCTTCTTTGCCCGCTGCTATTCCCCCCTTGCCCGTTGCCTCCCCCTCCCTTGCCCCTGCTCTTCCCCCCTTGCCCACTGTGGCTCCCCCCTTTGCCCACCGCTTCCCCCCCCTCGCTTGCTGCTTCTCCCCCTTGCCCGTTGCCTTTCCCACCACTTGCCCACTGCTTTTAGCCCTTTGCCGCTGCTCTTCCCCCCTTGCTCGCTGCTTCTCCCCCCTTGCCTGTTGCTTTACCCTCCCTTGCCCCTGCTTCCCCCCCCCCCTTGCCTGCTGTTATTTGCCCTTTGCCTGCTGCTTTTCCCCTGGTCCGCTGCTTCTCCCCCCTTGCCCACTGCTATTCCCCTCTGGCCCGCTGCTTCTTCCCCCCTGCCCGTTTTGCGGCCCATTTGGTCCCACCCATCCTTCGGTCCTCCCTCCACTCCCGACCCTCTCCGTTGATTGCCCACTTCCCCCCCCACATTCCCCCATTTTCTTCGTGTTCATCCCTCCCTTCCCCCCCCTGGTTCCCCCACTCGTATCCCCTCCCGTTCTCCCCTACTGTCCCCCATTGTTTCCCCCTCGTATTCTATCCTGCTTTCTTCTCCTTTCCCCCTGTTTCCCCTCCCTTCCCCCTTGCCCACTATCCCTCCCATTGCCCACTGCTTCCCCCCCCCTTGCCCACTGTTTCTCCCCGATTGCCCACTGCCTTTCCCCCCTTGCCCATCACTCCTTCCCGCTTGCCCACTGCTGTTCCCCTCCTTGTCCTCTACTCTTCCCCTGTTGCCCACCGACTTTCTCCCCTAGCCCACTGATTTCCCCCCCTTACTCATTGCTCTTCGCCTTTTTGTCCAGTGCGTTTCTCCCCTTTCCTCACTGCTCTTCCGCCCCTTGCTCTCTGACCTTCCCCTCCCTGCTCCCGCCAACTCACACGTCAGCCTCCACCCTCGTATTCTATCCTGCTTTCTTTTCCTTCCCCCCTGTTTCCCCTCCCCTCCCCTTGCCCACTATCCCCCCATTGCCCACTGCTTCTCCCCCCCCTTGCACACTGTTTCTCCCCGATTGCCCCCTGCCTTTCTCCCTTTGCCCATCTGCTAGCCGTTTCCCTCCTCTGTCTAGTTCGCCATTTCCCCCTCTGCCCAGCCCGCCGTTCCCCACTCTCCCCAGGTCGCCATTTCCCCTCAGCCCAGACCGCCACTCCCCCCCCCTCTCCCCAGCTTGCCATTTCCCCCTCTCCCCCAGCTTGCGAGTCCCTCCTTGCTTCTGCTTCTCCCCCTTGACGCTGTTTCCCCCCCCCCCCTTGCCTCTGTTTTCCCCCACTTCCCCGGCCCCGCCGCTCCCCCGCTCCCCTGCCCGCCGTCTCCCGCTTCCCTGCCCGCTGCTCCCCCGCTTCCCTGCCTGCTGCTCCCCCCACTTTCCCTGCCTGCTGCTCCCCCCCACTTTCCCTGCCCGCTGCTCCCCCCACTTTCCCTGCCCGCTGCTCCCCGCTTCCCTGCCCGCTGCTCCCCGGCTTCCCCCACTCCCCCCCAGGTCTCCCCCCTTCCCTACCAGCTTCCCCCTATACCCCCTCCAGTTTCCCCCTAGTACCCTCCCTGTCTCCCCACCCCTCTTCCCGGTTCCGTGATATCTCCCCCCACTGTTTCCCAGGAGTCTGCCCTCCGTTTTCCCCATCCTCCCCCCGTGCCCACTACTCTTCCCCCTCCTTGTCCACTGCTGTTCCCCCTCCTTGCCCACTGCTTGTCCCTACTTGCCCACTAACTCTACGCACTTACCCACCATTTTCTCTCCCGGCTCACGCGTTTCCCTCCCGTGCCCATTGCTTTTCCCCCGTGCCCACTGCCATTCCCCTCCTTTCTCCCCCACTTTTGCCCACTATCGTTCCCCCTCACTGCCCACTGCTACTTTTCCCTGCTGCCTTTCCTCACGTGCCCGCTGCTTCTCCCCCCTTGCCCGCTGCTCTTCTACTCTCGCCAGTTGCTTTTCCCTTCCTTGCCCCTGCTTTTCCCCCCCTCGCCGCTGTTATCCCCCCTTGTCCGCCGCTTTGTCCCACCCCTTGCCCGCTGTTTTCCCCTCTTTGGCCCGTTGCCTTCCCCTCCCTTGGCCCTGCCTTTCCCCCCATTGCCCGCTGTCATTTTCCCCCCATTACCCGCTGCTTTTCCCCCCTGGCCTGTTGCTTTTTCCCACTGGCCTGTTGCTTGCCCCGTTGCCTTTCCCACCCTTGCCCGTTGCCTTTCCCCCCCTTGCCTGTCGCTTTTCCCCCTTTGCCGCTCGTCTTCCCCCTTACCCGCTGATTCTCCTCCCCCTTGCCCGCTACCTTACCCTCTCTTGCCCCTGCTTTCCCCCCTTGCCCACTGTTATTCGCCCATTGCCAGCTGCTTTTCCCCCCTGGTCCGCTGCTTCTCCTCCCTTGCCCGCCGCCATTCCCCCCCTGGCCCGTTGCTTCCCCCCCCCCTGTGTTCCCGCTGCTTTCCCCCCCCGCCTCCCCGCTGTTCGTCCCCCCCCTGCCCGTTTCGCTGCCCATTGGGTCCCACCCATCCTCCGGTCCTCTCTCCACTCCCGACCCTCTCCTTTGATTACCCACTTCCCCCCCGCTTTCCCCCATTTTCTTCGTGTTCCTCCCCCCCTTCCCCCCCTTGGTTCCCCACTCTTATCCCCGCCCGCTCTCCCCTACTGTCCCCGTTGTTTCCCCTCGTATTCTATCCTGCTTTCCACTCTTTTCCCCTTGTTTCCCCCTCCCTTCCCCCTAGCCCACTACTTTTCCCCCATTGCCCACTGCTTTTCCCCCCTCGCCCACCATTCCTCCCCCTTGCCCACTGCCTTTCCCCTCCTTGCCCACCCCCTTCCTCCCCATTGCCCACTGCTGTTCCCCGCCCTGCCCTCTACTCTTCCCCCGCTGCCCACTGACCTTCCCCCTGGCCCACTGATTTCCCCCCCTTGCCCACTGCTCTTCGCCTCTTTTGCCCAGTGCGTTTTCTCCCTCTTCCTCGCTGCTTTTCCGCCCCTCGCCCTCTGATTTTCCCCCCTTGCTCCCACCAACTCACACGTCAGTTTCCACCCCCGAAATCGTCCCGCCCCACACCCGGTGCTCTTCACTCCTCCCCCCCTCTCTCCTTCCAGTTCCCCCTGTCCCTGCAGGCTGTTTCTTTCCATGTTGTCCTATCCCCGTTTCCCCACCTTCCCCCCGTACGTCTCCCCACAGTCGAGCGCCATAACCCTCCTCTAATCGCCGCCCCCTGTTCTCTCCCTATCCTCCCCCCCCTGTCCCCCTCCCCACTCCACGCAGTTTCTCTGATCTCACCTTCTTTCCCCGCTGTTTTCCTCCCTCCCTTCCCCCCTGCTTCCCCCTCCTCCCCTCTTCTAGCATGCAGTCCCCGTGGCCATGACCCACACCCCCTGCAATGGGGGGAGGGCGGCCCCGGTGCTCTCCGACGGTCAGGCAGAGCCGGTAGCCGCCCTTCCCCCTACTCATCGTCTTCCATCCCCCCACCCAACAGTATCGCCCCGCCAGCCCGCGTCGAGGTGACCGTCGGCAAGGGCGGGGACCAGGTGCGCTCTGCCTCGCGAGGCCGGAAACGACCACGGGAGAAGGCAGAGGAAGGCCCCGCCTCACGCCTGGAGAAGCAGGAGCGCGAAGCCACACGCTCGCGCTCCCATGGTCGCAAAAAGTCATCTGCCCCCCCTCCGCCACTCCCACAGGCCAACACTAGCGCCAGGAGAGCCCCCACCTCCTCCACACCCATGGCCACAGTAGCAAGGCTGGCACAGGTGAGGCCGCAGCAGGGCCTGTGGCAGGGGAGGGGATGCGGCAGCACCGGGGGTCCTGCAGAGGTGGCAGCAGAGATGGGGTGTGGGAGGTGAAAGGGGGGACGGAGAGGGCGGAGGGGGAAAGATCGGCAGAGCGGTGGGGGCTGGTGAGGACTCAGAGTGGGACGAGGCCGGGGACTCGGATGGGGACAACGCGAAGGACTCGGATGGGTTTTGGAGGGCGCCGAGGACTCGGATGAGGACGTAGTTGAGCTCATAGCACCCGCTCCTAGTGCAGCCAGGCTCGAGGCCGGTCCTCAGCAGGGGAGCCAGCGACGGGAGCTGTGGGGTTGGCAGGAGCGGCAGCTGGAGCGGAGGCGGAGGGGGAGGTGGCACGGGCTGGGGTAGAGAGGGCAGCATTAGAGGGTATGGCCCGGGCCTATGCGCAGTCCATGGCCGCATGTGGTGCGGCGCCGGAGGCAGCAGCAGGAGAGGCTGCAGGTGTGGCAACTGCAGGGGCGGTTGCAACAGTGGCAGCCATCAGGACCGCGGCAAAGGAGGCTGCCGCAGGAGTCACCGCAGGGGGTACTCCAGCGGAAGCTGCTATGGCAGAGGCAGAGGCAGGAGAGGCTGCATGGGGGAAGGTGGAAAAGGCGGCTGCAGAGGCGGCAGCAGCACGGGCTGTAGCCGCAGGGGGAGGAACGACAGCCGTGGTGGGAGGGGCGGCTGTGGGGGCTGCCGCAAAGGCCTTTGCAGAAGTGGCAGCAGCTCCAGCACCGGCAGAGGCGCAGGCACCTGGGCCGGTTGCAACGGGGGCGGCAGAGGGAGACCCTGCAGAGGTAGCAGCCGCTGGGGGTGGGGCCGCTCCAGAGTTGGCAGCAGCTGGGGGGTGGTCGCGGCGGCGGCAGCAGCAGCTGGGGCTGCAGCAGAGACGGTGGCAGCGGGAGCATGGGCAGCGGCGCAACAGCTGGGGCCTCCGTGGAGGAGGCGGCAGCAATGGATCATGCAAGAGGTGCATCGGCTCGGGCTCGGGCTCGGGATGCGGCAGAGGCAGTAGCAGCAGGGGCCACAGGGGCAGCCGGGGCGGATTTGGGGACAGCAGCAACAGCAGGCGCCCCTGCAGAGGCGGCAGAGGCAGGAGCAGCGGCGGTGCGGGCGGCGACAGCGGCAGGAGCTGGAGCTGCCACCGCAGAGGAGGCAGCAGCAGCCGATCTTGCGAGGGGCGCAGCGACCGGGGCTCGGGATGCCGCAGAGGCGGTGATGGCTGGGGCCGCTGCAGCGGCCAGGGTGGCTGCCGGGGAAGCAGACGAAGGAGTCCCTGCTGAGGCGGCGGGGGCAGGGACAACGGCAGAGGCAGCAGCAGCAGCAGCGGCAGCAGCAGCAACAGGAGCACGTGCAGGGGCGGCTGCTGGTGCGGCAGGGATAGGAGAGCCGCCGGAGGCGGCAGCAGCGGCAAGGCTACCTACGGCGGAGGAGGCAGGAAAGGGAGCTGTTGTACGCGCTCTCGCACGGGCTATTACCGGGGGGGGATGTATGCACGTCTGGCAGCTGCTGCGGCAGCAGCGGAGGAGGCAGAGATAGGGGCCGCTGCGGGGAAGGCAGCCAGGGGGAGCGCCACAGGGAAACCAGCAGCAAGTGCTGCGGCAGGGAAGGCAGCAGCGGGGGCAGCGGCAGGGAAAGTAGCAATGGGTCCCGCTGTTTCGCAGGCAGCGGCTAGCAGGGCCGCGACAGCGGCGGCGGCGGCAACGGCGGCGGCGGCGGCTGCGGTGGTGTCAGCGGAAAAAGGGGCAGCAGGGGGTGCCGCACCGGGGGCAGTAGCGGAAGCGGCTGCAGGGAAGGTAGCAGCAGGATCAGCAGGGCGTGCCGCGGGGGAGACAACTGCCGGGGTAGCTGCGGGGATGGCAGCAACAGGAAGGGCAGCTGGGGCGGCAGCAGGGAAGGCAGCAACAGCAGCAACACGGGCAGCGGCAAGAGGTGCTGCACGGGAGAGGGCAGCGGGAGCCGCTGCAGGAAGGGCAGCAGCTGCGGCAGCTCCAGCAGGAGGTGTGGTGAGAGAGACAGCAGCCGGAGCGGCTGAAGGTAAGGCAGTAACTGGGACGAGGGCTAAGGAGGCCGGACACAGGGCAGCACCTGGGCCGGAAGAGACTGTCTCATCCCCTCCCACCCCCCATCTCCCCCTCCCCCCCCCTCCTTCCCCTCCTCCCCCTACTTCCCTTGCGGTCCCCCGTCCCCCCTTCCCCCCCCTACTCCCAATCCCATGCATGCAGGGGCTTCACCAGCGGCGCAGGGCCCTCGCCGTGGGCTACAACCCAGGGCTATGGGCGGGGCGGCCCGAGCCTTGGCGTTTTTGGCGGACCCCTGTACACCCGAGCCAATGATCGGGACGCAGTCTCACCACTCCCTCTCCCCCCACACCCTCCCCTTACAGCCGAGTGTGCCCCACGAGGCGGCCGCCGAGGATGGCTCGGACAATGATGGCCCGCTCGCCGGATATATCTTGGTCGACTCAACCCTTCCATGCTCTCCCTCATCAGCCCTCGCGCCGGCGCCAGGAGCACAAACAACAGCCGGGCAGGTTGCTCCCTCCCCCTCCCCACCCACGCAGGCTGTCGCGCCGGACGCCTCGACCTGGGTAGCACAAGGAGGGGCGGCTCTTGCCCAACCCCCCTCGTCAGTCCGCCCCCAACCCTGTTCCACCCCAGGTGCCTCCCGCCCGGCACAGGGCACACACCCTGTCGGCCACATGGGCGCTTCCCATAGGAACGGTGAGCGGGGTGCACCCCCGGCAAGGGGGAGCAACCCGAATCAACTCCCTCTCGGCCCTCGCCGTCTCACCCCGGCTGATCCCACTTCCCAAGCCCCACAGCTAAGCTTCGGGCAAGGCGGGGGTCCCTCGGCGCCCACTCTGCTTCCCTTCCCGGCCGTGGGCCCTACCTTGCCCGCGCCCGCCCCCCCTCCCTCTCCCACACATCCCACCCGCCCCCTTTCCCCGGCAATCCAGCCGGAACTCCCCTCGCGCCCTTTCGTGCAGCCCCCAGGTTTCATGTCCCGCACGGCAGGCGACCACGGGAGTGCCTCCCTCTTGGGCCCTCCCTTGTCACTTCCGTCTCACACACCCTCCAGCCCAGCGCTGGGGCACCCACCCTTCCCACCCCCTCCATTGAGCGTCCCACCCACGCTTAACCCTTACCCTACTGCCCAACCACCTCTCTTGCCCTGCCCCCCACTCCCGCCGCCGGCCCATCAGCGCGAACAGGGGCGAGGCGAGGGCGGCCCCCCCATCTCACCCTCCCCCTTCCTGCCCCACACACTCCTTGCCCGTCAGTATTCAGGTGGTCGCAGCGAGCCACCCATCCGCGATGGACGTCGACAAAACAGGAGTAGGGGACCTGCATGATGTCTCCTCCCAACCCTACATCCCCCCTTACCGTCGCTCCGCACAGGCAGCGATGTCGGCAGACGCCCAGGGGGAAGGGGACGGGGAAGGTGTCGGGGAGGGCGGGGCCTCACGGATGGCGCTGCCGATTCCACCACCGCCACCACCCCTCTCTTTCCCCCCTGTCCCCATCTGCACCCGCCCCAGGGCAGGCCGCCATCCATGCGCAGGCTAGCCCATCGCGGCAGCGGCCATCGGCGGCCACACCCCCTCACCCTCCCAGCTGCCCCATTCTCACACTCCTCACCCACAGCAGGGGGCGGTCACACGGCAGCCACTGATTGGACAGTTTGCCCAACCCCACACAGGTCGCCGGAAGAAGGGCAAGGGCAAGGGGACACCCGGGGCAGCCCGGCGCTCGGAGCAGCCGGACACGACTCCACCCTCTGCTGGCGCGCAGCCCTTACCAGCCACCACCCCTCAGGCGACCCCATCATTGCCCCCGGCCTGCCACCCACTGCCCTCCCATAACCAGGATGGCGAGCTTCGGACGGTCTCCCTCGCCCCACCCAGGCCTCACTCCCCTGTCACCCCCCATCCCGCCCTGGCCCCCCACCAGACAGTCGCCGCCGATGCCCCATCCGCGATGGAAATCGAACCGGCGGTGGAAGAGGGTCGTTAGCCTCTCGCAAGCAAGCCTATATCCCCCCCAGCGTCGGTCCCCACCACCCGCTTCTTTGTCCCCCTCCGGTCCACAACCTCCGACCCAGGCAGGCCCACGGTGGTTCGCCCACCACGACCAACCAGCCTGCCCTGCTCCCCCTACCACAGGCGGACAGTCGCAGGGCAGATGGGGAGACGGAGGCGGCAGTTGCCGACTTCTCA